TATAATATAATATAAATATTAATAATATAAATTTTATAACTACATAATAAATACATGTATTAATCATTTGTATAATTTTTGCCAGTTTATGCCAGTTTAGGAATAAAGTCCAGGACGGTTAAAACCGGAATTTACCATGGTTTTTTCCACCCCCTGGTTTTTTCTTGCCAACCCTGATCATAATAGATTACAATTTACAATTGAAGTACAAAAAAATAATTTTTTAAGTTTTCTTGAGATTAAAATTTTAAATTTTGATGGCAAATTAAGTTTTGATTTGTATCATAAATCAACTTTTTCAGGGAGATATTTAAACTTTTATTCTTCCCATCCAAAATCACAAAAAATAGGTACTATTTTAAGTACGGTTGATAGAGTTTTTTTATTATCTGACTCTTGCTATCATGAAGATAATTTTAAATTTATGATTGAAGTTCTTCTTAAGAATAATTATCCATTACATTTTATCTTTAAGACAATCAGAAACAGAATCAAGTTTTTAGTTAATNACAAATTAAATGTACATATTAATGAGACTGTCCCACTGTCTAATGATTGTGAGACTAATATTAANTATTTTGTTATGCCTTATTTAACTGACTTTTATATGTCATTTTCTAAGTTGTTCAAAAAATCTAAGGAAACTTCATTGGCATTTCGAAGTCTTAACAAATTGAGTAAATTTGTTAAGGTTGGTAAAGATAAAATAGATCACGATCAAAATAAAGATGTGGTGTATCAAATTAACTGTAACAATTGTAATGCGTCTTATGTTGGACAGACGAAGAGAANGTTAAAAACTAGAATTAAGGAGCATAGGAATCAGATTAATAGAAATTCAAATATTTTATCCGTTGTTACTGAACATCGTTTAAATAATAATCACGATTTTGTTTGGAACAATGTTAAAATTTTAGATAAAGAAAAATTTTTTTATAAAAGATCTATTTCTGAAATGCTCCATATTCAACTACAAGACAATCCGATCAATGTCAAATCTGATACNGAAGAACTGAAACCTTATTTCTCTTTCTTAGATCTGTTTAAATCTAAAAGATAATCCGTTAATTTAAATGTGTTTTTCAACTTGATATTCATCTCTCTTTGTTATCGATATGAACATGTTTGTATATTATATGATGATGGTGGGGAAATTTGTATATATTGATGTGTGTTAAGATCGCGCGCTAGTACACAGTGTTCTGTGCTGACTGTTTGCTCGCGTGTTATCTCTTTCAAGTATGTATNATAATTCTTATATTTATTTCTGTTTATTTGTAATCACGATTTTTCTTCAATGTTTTGCGCTTTTACTCTTTAATTTACTATTAGATCACATTTCTATACACTGATGAAGGTCTAAACCATTGACCGAAACGTCTGTTGAATTTAATAAAGACTATTTGTGATACACGACCAACTTGTATTTTACTGCTCGGATCGGCCTTTCAACTCAATCTCTTGAAAAAATATTGTTTTTGTTATTTTTAAGTTTTTAACCGTGTGAATAGGTAACTTAACAAAAACAGTTTTCAGCTGATTTTTTTATGTTTCTTACATTTTTTTTGTTGAGACAAAATTACTAGATTGCATTCGAGTTTGATTGTCTGGCATATTTTTTATTATATCACGTTAAATATTATCTTATATTATTTTATTTATTAAATATTATCTTTATTTATCAAAAAAACTATGCGCACGAAGTTTGTCTGTATATTTCCCATTTCTGTTTTTATGCGACACACCATAATCTGTTAGTACTCTGGTACTTCCCCTACTCGCGGTGTTGCATTCGCCCTTCTACTCGCTGCTATTCAAATATCTATCGTTATTTTAGCGCAAACCTGAGTGACAAGTCTTCAGTCTGTGCAGTTTTTTTCAATCGACAGCGTATATCGCATTCGGTCAACATATCCAAACGCATCTCTCGTAAGTTTTTAATCTCAATTGCGGAATATTCGTGCAAATATTTACAATTCCGTTTAGCATAGCGCAAAGATGTACGGTATGTGTGTTTTGAACGCGACATGCGTATAGGGTAAGTAAGTCACCGAAAGAGACTTGCATCAGTCGACTTTTGTCATTTTTGTTTTTGTGATATATATTTTTCTGTAGAATAATTTTGCAAACACAAGTACACGTTTTCATCATTGAATAATTTCTTGAAAAAATAGAAAAGCGATAGGGGTAAACAGTACAGTTATTGGCCTCCCAACAGTAATTGGCCATGTAGTAAAGAAGTAATAAATATAAATAAATACTATCATTATATTCTAAATTATAAACATTTTAATATTAATTAAGTTTTTTTGCTCCGAATAAAAGTAATATTATATTATTTAAGAAGCTCAAAAACTTATTCTTATACGACAAACATTAACCAACTGGCCAATCACTGTTTTTAAGGTTATAAAAACCATATAACAGTCATTGGCCTCTTATTTTGAGTTATAGATACAAATGTAAGTAGGTTTGTTAGTTTTTAATGTGTTATAAAGAAAATATTTATTACTATATCTTCATAAGTCAAAACAAAAAATTTATTATGTTAACTGTTATGTAAACAGATACTAACAGAACTCATATGGCCAATAACTGTCTACTTTGACTATAGGAAATATTTTATCAAATTTTGAATAATGTTTCAAATTTTCTAATAAATTTATTAGTTTATTTGCAATTGTTATAGTTTGTTTGAGCTAGTAGTACTAAAGATTTACTTCAAGTTATTAAATTTTTTTTTTTATTTTCATACTAATATTGTAATATTTTTTGTATCGTTTTGCGACCGAAGAAGACTCCGGTCAGAGTCGAAATATTTCGCTGATTAATTTGTAATTTTATTTGAATTTCTATATTATTAAAACTTTGGTTTTTGCTCGAATTTGACCAGTATTGTCACATTTTTAATTAAAAAAAAAACTATTTCAATCAATTTATCACTTTTTATTCAGTTGGACAGCATTTCTGTATAGATCTAATTAGATCTCAATTAACTTTAAATGGATACAAAGTAGATCCAATAATAAATAAAACTGTAAATTTACAAAGATCTACTTATATCTATTTATATGTGTAGATCTGCTTTATATCTAATTGGATCTATTTTTCCATTTTTTTTATCTTGTTAGATTTACATTAGATCTGATTCATTTTTTTACTTTATCGTATCTTCTTATTTTATGAGAGTTTATTTTATCATTGTGTCATTTTTTCATTCTTTCATTAAAACGTAACGTCGTTTGACAACGTGTGTACGGTAAGTGTTGTACACGTTGTGCATGTTGTGTGCGCTTTTCATGATCCGCAGATGATATACATTCTGAATTGTGTCAGGATAGCGAATACGTCAAAAACATTGTTACGCTACTTGTGCTTTTTGATAATACACGTTGTAAACACAAGTGTTCGTGACACGCATCATCAAACGACGTTCTCAAATTGCAATTGCGACGGATCTGTGAGAAAGTCGCAATATAAAAGACACAGCAAGTGCATTATAAGTAGAAATTGCGAATTTTATAGCGCGCCGTTGCCGCGATTTCACTCGAAAGAAACGTCACGACAATTACAATCATCTCGTTTTCATTTTGACGAATTCTCTCGACATTGACAAGAAAAAAGTAGAAAAAAAATTTATTTGATACAGAAACGTTTGTTTGTTTTTTTTTTTTTTATGCGAAGTTGCAACAGGCATTTGTTTTGTACGAGGTTCTCTTTTGTTTATGTGTGTTTTTTTAATTATTTAAATTCTGCATCGTCATCAGACAATGTAAAAAGTTTGAAAAATTTACATAAAATATTAATAATATATTATTAATAATTAATTAATATTATTAATAGTTATTTTTAATAATATATTTATTTAAAAACTGTTTAATGTTTCTCAGAAGAGAGAGGCATACGTACGTGACTTTTATTTGTACACATCTATAACATTATTTACCAAAATCACATGTCACAGCGGATGTGAAGAGACACTTGTAGAAACAGCTCAAACAGAAAGTTTCGAAAGTTTAACAAAAATACATTTTCGTAGTCGAATTACAGATATTTTCTGTTTGAGTTAATTCAGTAATAGTACGTTTCTTTTCTGATTACGAAAGCAGATAGGTAGGATAGATATGTGTTTTTTTACGCTCAGAAGATTTTCGCTATGTAAATTCGTACGTTTCAAAAGCACTTCCGCGTGAGGAGTGTCGCGTTATATCATAGGCACGCGCGTGTCGTCGCTTTCGGAGAAGAGCAAGTATTTTTACAATCCGATGCGTTTTTTCTTGCGTTTTACATAGCGTCATACAAATGACCGCTTTGAGACGACACGCGAAAGAATTGTTACGGCGATTCATCATCGACGCGACAAAGAGCAACGCTTCGCACACATTGGCCGCGCAGCAGCAGCAAGTCGGCAAACAAGATGATGATGAGATGCTGCGGTTTCGCCCGTACTCGGATATTCCAGGACCTAAGCCAATTCCACTACTGGGCAACACCTGGCGCTTCCTTCCCTACATAGGTAAATCACCGAGAAGACATACACACGTGTAACAATAGATTCACAGGTCACGCGAATGCGAGAATTTGTAATTTATCAAAATAAAAACTTTGGTAACTTTTTTGTTTATTATTTTTTTTCCCCTTTTTTTTTTTTTTTTTTTTTTTTTTTTTTATCTAAAACTGTTTCACAGGAGACTTCGACATACAAGCTATCGACAAACTGTCAAAGAGACTTCACGCCCGTTACGGCGACATAGTGAAGATAGAAGGTCTCTTGGGTCGGCCCGACATGGTGTTCGTTTACGACGCGGACGAAATCGAGCGAATCTTCAGACAGGAGGAGAGAATGCCCCATCGGCCTTCCATGCCGTCCCTCGATTATTACAAACACGTGTTGCGAAGGGAATTCTTTCGGGACAATCCCGGTGTCATCGCCGTGTACGTTATTTCACTAATTAGGAAATTAAAACACTTCAAGGGAAAAACAGCGGGCATATTTCCGCGCGTCAAAGCTAAAGACGCAACATCCATTCATTTCTTTGATTTGCCGACGGTTGTGAAACTCGTGAAAAAAAAATTGTCTCGCCAATGACATTTCGAGAAAGATCGTAAAGTAAAAGAACGACAATTGTCATCGCGCGCTGCTTCGACTCTCCCTTTCTTAAATTTTTTCTCCGCGTTTCAGTCACGGTGAGAGCTGGTACAATTTCCGCAGCAAGGTGCAGCAGGTGATGCTGCAACCGCGAGTCGCGAGAATGTACACTGGCGCGATTGAAGAAGCGAGCGTGGCATTTCTTCGCAGGTCTGCTTTGTGTTTATTGTTTTATAAGTACCGTTTCGAAGACAGTAGCACTGCTTATATTGTCGTCTTTTCATGGCCGAGACCAACTTTCGCTGCTGTCTTCGTCTCTCTTGACTTGATTGCAATTGCGCTCGAAAGAGAACCGACTCGTCGGTCGTCATATTTTGTATTTTACAGAATCGCAAAAATACAAAACCAGAAGAACGAGGTGCCCGACGATTTTCTCAACGAGATGCACAAGTGGTCGTTGGAATGTAAGGATGACTCTCGGTAGAAAAAATTTCAATTATTTTTCAGAAACAACACATGTTGTCTCTCTGTTGCATCTTTCGATTTGAGAAAGAGCGTAACTTTCCGAAGAGATTAACTTTTGCACAATCACTGCCTATAAAGAACAAACAAAATTTTACAATACTATATTTATAAAATATAAACTTTATTTTTATATGTTTGTATTAGTTTTTATATTATATTTATATTCACGTATAAAAATATATTTTTATTATAATTTTATTTTTAATATTATAAAACAAAAATAAATGTGATACATGTGAGATCACTTTTGTTCTCTCGAGATAGCAATCGCACGAGTTGCGTTGGACGTGCGTCTGGGTTGTCTGGACGACGACGCGGACGCGGAAACGCAGAGACTCATCGACGCCCTGATCACATTCTTCAAGAACGTGCCGGTGCTCGAGTTGAAGATACCTTTCTGGAAAATCTTTAACACGTCCACGTGGCAGCAGTACATCAATGCTCTGGATACTATCATGAAGTACACGCTATTTGTCACTTACAGAATTATAAAAAAAAACTTTGTGTATTTTATACATAAATTATAATATACAACATACAGATACTGCAATACTTCGTTTCAGCACAATATCGAAATACACAACTGCCGCTCTGTCGAGGTCCAAGGCCAACTCGGACCCGAACGTGGAACTGTCTCTTCTAGACAGAGTTCTTGCCCGCGAGGGCGACACGAGAGTCGCCTCTGTTCTCGCTCTGGATTTGTTTCTGGTCGGAGTCGACACAGTGAGTGCATCTGGATTCGTAATTTACATCTCTTCGAATGGTCAACAACTCGTTTGCAAGAATCTAATTAATACTCGCAGACGTCGACCTCGGTGACCTCGGTGCTCTATCAGCTGGCGCTACATCCGGAGAAACAGGCCTTGGCGTACGAGGAAATTCGCAGAGTCCTTCCGGAAGAGAACTCTCCCATCGAAGCGAGAAATATCGATAATTTGAAATACGTGAAAGCGTGCATCAAAGAAACTTTGAGGTGCGTAAATTGAGTTGATATATCTGCTTAATTCAGGACAAAAGTATTGGACTTTTTTTATCTGAATCGAATGTTTTCCGTTTTTATTAGAATGTATCCAGTTGTTATAGGCAACGGGCGATGCATGAGTTCCGACACCGTGATTGGTGGCTATTTAGTGCCGAAAGGAGTAAGAACAAAACATTCGTTATTTTTGATAATTGTCACGAACCCTTCGCTGATCATAAAACATCTATTTACATAACTTTTATAATTAAAAAAAAATTTTTTCAATCTACATTTGATGCAAATTTTCACGAAAACTCTAAACGACCGATTAGATTCGTCCAGTATGAAATTCTAGATACGAGAAAGAAGGAACAATATCGCGGGCTTTCGCTGATTGTTCTCAGGTGCAAGTGATATTTCAACACTATGCAATCAGTAATATGGAAAAGTACTTCCCGCGAAACGGCGAGTTTCTTCCGGAACGGTGGCTGCACGACGACGGAGTTCGTCACGCGTTCGCGTCTCTTCCCTTCGGTTACGGCAGACGGATGTGCCTGGGACGAAGATTTGCCGAGCTCGAAATGATTATCGTCATTAGCAAGGTGAGAGATAATTACTGTAAGTACGCTAAATTGTCGTGACGATAAAGAAAAAAAAGAACGTTTCTGTAGAACAAGACTCTCGTAGCGTTTCGCTTTCACTGATTTGAACTCTCTCTCAAACTGCTCTCTTTATTCAGGCTATGTTAATTAAGCGTGAATGAAGAGAAAAGAATTCTCTTCATATTTCTGAAAAAAAAAAAAAAAAAATAGTATCATCTGCATTTCTGTTTTTTTTCGAAGACGAGAAGTATATCGCATACCTCGATAATAGACAAGCACATTAACGCGTTTCTTTTTTCTCGACGTTTTCTCAAGGTAATTTTTTCAGAATATTAATTTCTTTCTCTCTCTCTGTTTCAGATTCTGCAAGCTTACAAGGTGGAGTATCACCACGAAAAATTGGAATACTACATCAATCCGATGTACACACCGAAGGGACCGTTGAGGCTCAGATTTATCAAAAAAGATAACATAAAACAAATATAAATAATTGTATACAAGCGCAATTGAGCAGGATACACTATATTTAGAGTAAATTTAACATCTTTTACTTATTGTTTTAATCCTTAGAGTACCGTGAGCGAATATATCAACAAAAACTACCGCTTACTCTTATTTGTTACATTTAAGAAGAATTAAATATACCTTAATTTAATCCAATTGAAGTGTAATATTGGGGACGCAGAGTCAGAAAATAAAAAAATTTAAGTTGCGTTTCTTTATGTTTCGCACAACTCAAGCAGAAAGTTCAGCTGCGTAACGCTTTGTACTCTAAAGGTTAAATGTATTGTACAAGTACACACACTTCGTATAAATACAAATCTTTGCAATACAAATATGACACACTTACGGGCTAACGGTGCTCACGAATAGGAGCTATCTCTTTATTACTTTGAATCTGAGTTCTCCATCTGGCGCGTACATAAACGTGACCTTGTAGTTCAATGGGTTGTGATGATATTCCAGCTTGTACGACCTCAGTAGCTAAAAATAAAAATTAGAAATAATTGTTATACGTATTAAAATTAATGTAACAATTGCTGTAATTTTAAACAAAAGACAAATTTATTAGAGACAAATTAAATTCTTACTAAATGTTAAGAAAATACGAATACATTTTTTTAGTTCATGAAATAAGTTTCGATCCATCCTCTTTCTTTTTTTTTTTTTTATATCTCTTTTGTTCAAATTGAGAACAATGAGAATCAATAAATCAAAAGATAATAATCCGGCTCCTTCAAACCAACTGTACAGTACGCAACCGAGCACTTATTGCGAAAACTACTTCACCTTTGCGAGCAACACCTGCATTTCGAGATCCGCGAACCTTCTTCCCAGACACATTCGCGCTCCGTAACCGTACGGTAGAGAAGCGAACGGATGCAGCTTCTCGTTTTCATTGTCCTTCAGCCATCTCGCGGGTTTGAACGTCTTCGCGTCCGCAATGTATTCTTCTAAGTTACCGGTGACCAAAGTAGGAAACACAACTTGCACCTGAAATTCACAATCGACTTGTTCTAATTTATTTTTCGAATTAACAGATAGTCGATGATAGCGCGAAAAAAATGATAGAAATGTTACGAACTCCTTTTGGTATTTTGTAGCCGCATATGACAGTGTCGTTTTGCAAAGTCCTGCCATTTCCAATTACGGTGGAATAAACTCTACAAGATTATAAATAAATGAATTGTTGTATTTATAGGGCTTTATTTAAATATATTATTATACGGTGTTCTTTTTTTTATATTACCTGAACACTTCGCGAATAAATGCCTTCATGTACACCGCTCGATCCAGATGACTCGTCGTGAGCGGAACGGAAGGATCGGGCAAGATCTGCAACAGCTCCTGATGAATCTTTTCCTGCTCCTCCGGTCTCGTCGCTAATTGATATAATATTGAGCACACTGCCATTGATATCTGTACAAATTAAACGTGCATTTTCACGAGAATTCATAATAAAAATTTCGTTTCTTCGCTCAATCACATGTTGAGCGTTTCGTTCTTTTGTAATAATTACGTATGTTAATTGCGAACCACTTTCACGCGAACGCACGCGAACGCTACGTATGATTACAATTGTTGCGATTAATGAACTTGCCGTATCAATGCCGACCAGTATCAAATCGAGAGCAAAAATGTAAGCCATCTTGGGATCCGTTTCTTTGGCCAAGATTCGTTCCACAAGCGACAAGTCGCTCTCGTTCACGGTCTTCTTACTTTTGAGCCTGACTATAGCGGCGTCGATGTACTTCATGCATATTCTGAAAATTTCTACATCAAACCTATTCTAGAAACGAAGCACCGGTCGCTCACATCTCACAGAAACTGCTAAATGAAAACGATGAATGAGAAAAAATTAACTTTTTACGAAGAAAATTAATTCTTATATGAAGGATTCTGTGATATTGAAAAAAAACCTTGAAATCTTTAAACCGGTTCTCAGCGAGAGATAAATGATCTTCGAAAACTATCTGTACTTCGAACTTCTCTACACAACTTTCTGCTTTCAAGGTGTATGTACCGTTAGATAATCAAGTGCTATAAAAAGCAAAGAATTTTACTTTCACATATCTAACTTCCAAATTAAGGAACTTCCAAGTAAGGAAGATTACTGCCCGATCTGCTTGACGGAATCAAGCCGTTTGGACAGAAGTTAAAGACAGTTGGCGATGACATCACGAGTAAAATTCTTCTGATTTTTAAGGAATAAAGAAAAAAATTGATGTTTTTTAAATATATGTGTATCTTTCCAAGAAATTCTCTAATTTTTTGCTCGCGAGATTTTGTGACTCACTCAATGAAGTAATTCATGTTGCGCACGTAGCGGCTCCAAAGCGGCGTCGGGAAGTATCTCCAGTACGGAGCCTTGAGCTCGAGCGCGGCCACGTTTCGCAACGCGAATTTCGCAGCGTCAATTATCTTCTGCGGTTCCGAGTTTGGCGATAACGACCCGCCTAAACAGCCCAGTCTTACGTCGAGTGCCACTCGGCCTATACCTGCGGGCCAAAAAATTAGTGATTCGCAATGCGTAACGAGTGCGTAATGAGTGCGACTACGTTGGAATGCGCGTGCACGTTTCAACTAAGGGAATGCGTTTCGTGAAACTCAACGCGCAGATTGTTCCAACAAGAATCTCGTTAGATATAGAACTTTACCGAGCGATTAGTTCGGTGAATATTTGCCGATGAAAAATCTTGTTTGAAGATTTAGAAATTTTGAGGGAAAATTTTGAGTGATATTTTAACATGTGTGAAATTAATGCGTTATCAACGCGCGTCGTCTTAATACGTGTTTCGTTTTTCGAACCGGAAAATAGGTCGGGAAAAAGTAAAAACCGCGTTGAATTCAATTTTAACGTCACATGCCTTATAAGATATTTGTCATCTCAAATTAAAAATTAAGTTGTTTCATCTTTAATCTGAGAGTGAAATTATTATATTTCAAAATTATTTCAGATTCAAATCAAAACCAAAATCTCTCGTTCCCGCTTAAAAACGCGCGAATCAATATTAAATATTAAACGACAGATGCAAAAAAATTCGAAATGACATTTTAAGCAAACAAACTATTATTTATGGATAAGAAGAACTAACATTCAAGAGCCCATTTATGTATTTCGTTGTCGAAATCACCAGGCACTTCGTCGTCGTCACCTTTGATCTCTTCAATTCTGTAATAAATCGGAATTAAATTCGTGATTTACCGATTATGTAATCATTGTTTATATATACAATATATGTTTATATATATAATATGTATATATATGTGTATACATACATATGTTTATATATACAACATATATGTTTATATACACAATACATATATATGCTGGTATTGCTGATATACATATATCACTGACCTCTTGATGAAATCCTTTGTGACTACTTCAATCGGAGTTATGTATTTTCTTATAGTCTGGGGCTGGAGAACAGGTTTTTGAACACGTGTACGAAATTCTTTCCACTGCTCACCGTGTCTAATAATGAATCGGCTCAATTAGCATATCGGATTAGCATAAAACACCAGGAAATATTAAAAAAAACAAACGCAACAAATTTTTTGTCTACAATAATATTAGTAGACAAAACTTCGCTCAAATGTGAGATATCACGTTGACATGTTATGTTTGCCGAAATATTATCAAACATTTATGCAATAACCTAAAAAGAATGAAATTCTTTCAAGAATCAAGTATCTAAAATTTGTTTCTTAAATTCGGAAGACAAATAAATTAACATAAATTAACTAACATAAATTAACATAAATTAACATATATAAATGTAATACTTCTCTTACTTCTTTAAATATAAACTTAAGATAAATTTTTTTTTAAGATAGTTTTTTTTCGAATGATATTGCACTTGCTTATTTATTTATTACAAAGCGAATACAGGAATTATTCCGAGTGATCTATTTTGTCGTTATTGGTTCACCTACACGCCGACGACGCCCGGCAAGTCCCCGAAGAAGTCCTTCCGCACGACACTCTTATAATATACCAGACAGGGCATGGAAGGCCGAAAAGGCGTGGGACCTTCTTGTCGGTACACCTTCTCGATCTCGTCGGCGTCATAGACGAAGAGCAAGTCAGGCCGGCCCATCAGACCCCCCAATCGCACAATCTTGCCGTACTCGTTGTAAAACATTTGGGAGATCTTGCCGACGTCTGAGATCTGATACGGGCCGATTAGCGGCAACATTCGCCAAGCGTTTCCCAAAATTGGTATCGGCTTCGGTCCGGGCACCTCATCGTACGGTTTCACGTGGGACGAGAGATTCTGCGATGTCGTGCATTCCGATGCGATAGCATTGCTGCACATATCCCGCTGGACATTAATTTCGCAACGAATCCACGACGTCGGCGATGTCCAGCCCGATGCGAACACGGACGAGTTCTTCCTGTAACCATAAACTCGTCAATGCTCGCTCGTTTATTTTGTCGCCTTAAAATATTTTTATTGATTCTTCAAGATATTTTATTTTAAATGCGCATTTTAAAGTGTTCTCGAGACGAGTAACTTTCGACCATTTCTTTTATTGCACGAAACAGGCTTGTCACGTCTCGCTCGTTTTATCTTTCTACAGTATTTTATATATATATATATATATATATATATATATATATAATTCTTTGCGGTTTCGTATACATTATTTTCAATGTGTGTTTTGAAATGTTTCTTTAGAATCTTGAATGATCCTCGATCCTTCCAATTATGTTTTCACAACCTTCCGTAAATTCCTTCGGCATAATGACCTCACAAGCGCATTATTTCTATACCGCAACATATAATGTCTCGCTGCTGTCGCAATATTTTGATTGCAAGTAGAAAAACGCTAAAAAACCTTTCACGAGGCGTGATAATTCGAACACCTGTGTTCCTCACGAGCGATCAAACAAATTCTATGTAAAAACAAAAGACAAATCAAAAACAATATAAATTAAACGTTTACGCGCGCAAGTCAACGCTAGAGAGTTAGAAAAATCTTCGTTAAAAATCAAGTGTTTCGCGATCCAATAAAGTGCGCGGAGAGAAAGCGTAAAAATTCCGCGTATCTCTCAAACGTATAAAACGCAGCAAGTGGCGAGTTATACAAACGACTTCGCGATTGTTTGCTAAAAGAAAAAAATAATCGACTCACCGCGCGTGGTGAAAATTAAATACGCTAAACATACTAAACGATCGTACAAACATAAACATGTACACAAGATTAACTAACAAGCACCGAAAAACTTGTCTTGTTATCCCGCCGAACAATTTTATTTCACACGTTTCTGAGAACAACCGCAAGCAAAAAGGTTTCGGACACTGTGCAAAATATAACAAACATATAAGAAAATCATAGAAAGTCGAGTAAGAACTCTTTTTTACGCCGCTTTAATTTGCCCGGCGGTGAAACGTTCTTCAGAGCTTCTCGTTTATAAAGGAAACGTTCTGAAATACTTAGTGTATATAATATTATCACAGTTTTACTTCCAATCAATCTCTTCCGTGACGCGCAATCGAAAAACGTACCTCATTACTTTGTTGAGCAGCAACATTCTCAAAATTTACTCTTCGCTTTTCGTTCCGACGATCGGCAAACCGCTCGCACTCATACGTGCGCACACTTCCGGCGCGCTGAGAGACACGAGAGACAGATGAAATTGTTAACACCGTGAGGACGCGTCGAACGAACGTCTCGTCATCGAGTGCAAATGCCGAAGAAGGTCGCGAGAACCGATTCACGCAGGTGCGCCCCTCTCTTTCACGTGCGGCCCGATCTTTCTTTCCACCAGAAACTGACCTACATCCAATACAATTCATTTTTCAGCTTATAAGTGATTCAAATCTCTCTCCTACGCTCGTCTCCCATAAGCAAAAGTATTTTTACATCATTACCAATGTTTGTTTTTTTATTATTATCTTACAACAATCACACGACACAGTGGCTGCGTTAAACAATAGATATTTGGTTCGCAATCACGAGGAAATTATTTTACGGGGCACGCGATTCAACAATCAATTATTCTTTCATTTTTCACGCGTGTAAATTAAATGATGAAGTTGTTGCACGCAATCGTGTCAGTTAAAATAGAATATCTAATCTGAAATTGAATTAAAGAAGTTTGATCGGTGGATACTTGGATAGGTTGGGTTTTAGGTGTGTGTATATTTGTTCCAAATCTCTATAATTTACGTCACGTACGTTATATGTTATACTTCACCATAATAATTGAAGTCCCCTTTCACTTCTCAAATTGTAGAGTTCTTTTTTTGTATAAGAACAAGATTTCATGACCTTCACGTAATTACTGATGACACAATCTTATTATTCAGAACTGGAAGTCACGTTTGGAAGCTTTAAGATGTGCGAATGCAAGAGTTTACACTTTGTAATGGTCAACAATTTTATTTCTAAATATATACTCACTTGTTGGTAAAAAATATGATACACACACAACATCGTTAGACCGTTTCTCTTGTCGGCGAATTCACCGAATGGCAAAGAATAACCGCAACGTTCGTTTGTTTATTTACTCTGTTAGTAGTTAAAATCCTAAAATTCATCTTCTCATTTCTCGTAGCCGAAGAACGTCCCATAATAACGAGTCCCATTGATAAACGTTATTAAACGTGAAATTTTCATCCATACTCTCTCCCAACCAGGTGTCGCGTGATTTTGCAATGCGCGCGTTGACAGCCATCTAAAAATTAAACTTCTAGTAATTTTGAAATTTTTTTTTATTCAAATCTCAAAGTGAGGACGAGTGAGCTTCGTGCAAAATTTCAATCGTTTTTCAATGATTAATACAGAAGATGCGAACATTTTTCACGCGCGCCGCGTCTCACCTCGGCGAAAGGTCAGGCGAACAAATCCGCCGCGATGTAACGGAAATTTTATTTTTTTGTTACCAGAATCAGAAGATCATCACAGAAAGTGACCAGAGTGGCTGAGAAAAGAGGTGAACTGATTCAGCGGACAACTTCACGATATTAGATGACTATGAGTTGAAGAAAGTGGCGCTAAATGTCTGTTTCGGTTAATTCCGGCGGAAAAATTCAACTCTAGTACCAGGATCGCAGAAAGTGACAAGATGCTCCGTTACCAGGGAAGAGTATGAATAAGAGGTGGCGTTAAATATCGTAAAAGAAACTGTCTTCTGAACGGACAAATGCGAACTTTCTTACCAGGAAAATAGGATGCGACAAGAGCGTCCGAGTTCTTCAAGGTGGTTCGAGTCTTCGCTAAAAATACATAATTTATCGAAGACTCAAACCAACACAAGATTCATAATAAATTTAAAAATTCTTTCCAAAATTGACCGTTTCTTGTAAATTATCTTGTGAATTTGAAATAGATGTAAATTGTTGATCAAAATAAACAAATAAACTTATAAAAAATTTGCAGTGTGCGTTTTTTTTTTCTCAGTCACACACTTTCCGCGGACTGTTAAACGCATTGTGTTTATGAGAGAAAGAGGATGTAACTGTACCTAGCGTGGTTAGAAAAAAATGTAGCACACACACACACATTGAAATAATCTCTTTATTACGTATATATATATATATATGCATGTATGTACAATTGCCAAGTGCGATTGCGCGCGCCTCGGTACAACGGAGGATGCTGGACGATGTATCCCGTATCGCTGGACTTTCCTTACGTCTTGTTGGAACGTGAGGAAATCAACTCGATCCTGTACAAGCCAATCAATTCCACGCAACGAATTAAGGTACGGTGCGGTTGACAAGACGCGTGACAAGACTTGGTGTTTTTTTTTTTTTTTACACGAGCTCGCCAAATTTAGACAAAGAGGTTAGCACGACCGTGGTAGGCGTATATATGTACACAGCGCACCTGTCAAACGTGGTACGTGCCGTAGTTCTTGCGCGATTCGCGTCTGTTTTTTTTTTCAAATTCAACAAGATTAAAATTGCAACAATCGACGAGTAATAATCATTTTTATCGTGGCATACGGTTCTTCGTGCCGGGATCGTTTATATTTCTCTTATATTTTTTATACTATTTATTCGCGTCACCGTGTATAAATGTGACATTGTTGTTTATTTATAACATTGTTGCATAACTGTTTTTTGTGATAGAAAAATTGTCATCGCAGTGAGAATAAATTAAAAAATTACATCAAAGTAAGATTTACAATAACTAAAAAAAAAAGTACAGTTAACTAACAACTACATATTGATTACAGTATACATGTTTCCATGCTTCCACAAGTTACATTGTGCTGGGCTCGACCAGTGGCAGTGTTTATTTGTTCTCCAGAGAACCATGCTCATTTTTACAAATAGTACCTCTCTCGGTAAGTTACACACATGTTGCGTTGAGAATAAAAATTATTATTTATTTATATATTTTTTTGTGTAAATATGCAATCAGTAATGTTGTATCTAATCTTTGCGTCAGGAGGGTGTAGTTTCGCGTCTGGCGATATCACCTGACGAAAAGACTGTAGCCTTGGCAACAACACGCGGCACCGTCTGTCTAGTCTCTTTGAAGTCTACACCGCAACTGATGGCTGTGTCCACGGAACACATATGTAAACAAATCACCTGCCTCTGTTGGAACAACAACAGTGCTGAAATATACATAGGAGATGAAGCTGGCACCGTTTCCGTCATGATTCTATCCATATTTACAGTACGCTCGCAACATGTAAATTAAATTAACTTAAAAGTGATGATTTTGTAATAAACTAATTTAACAATTTATCGTATGTATTAGGTTAACGGAATGTTTCAAACTCCGGCCTGCACGCTGATGAGTTTGGATTCCAGCGTGGTACAGCTGAACTTCCTGTCGCCCCTTCTGCTGGTGTCCACGTTGTCGCGCTGTTACATCTGCGACACGGTTCAAGAGCAGTACAAACAAATAGGCAATAAGCCGCGTAACGGCGAGTTCGGCGCGTGTTTTTACACGACGCACGAGAACATTATCTCTGATGTTCAGCGCGAAGAGAAAAACATCAATAACACACGAGGCGCGTTCAATCTGATTTCCGACAACCACAGCAACAATCTGAGCGAGAATCACTCCAAGATCTTTTGCGCCCGGCCTGGCTCGCGATTGTGGGAAGTGTCGGCCGATGGTGTCGTCGTGAAGACGCACCAGTTCAAGGATGCTCTCGCCGTTCCCCCGACGCCGATATTTCGATCGTGCGACACTCTGGAATCTAGTCACAAGACGGATCGCGAGTGGTCCTCGCAATCCGTCAACTTCTCGCATCTGTCCGTGATCGCGCGCAAGTATTTATTTTCCTACACTACCAGCGGCCTGTACGTTATCGATCCCGCGAGCGCGAGCGTGCTGCTGTGGAACGACGAGCACACGAACATCAGCATGACCGCAATCGTGGACAATCGAATTTACCTGATGACCTGTGATAACGTTTTTCATTGTCTAGCATTATCCTCACTCGACAGCCTAATATTGCGTCTGTATCATCGCGAACGGTACAGCGACAGTCTTCGCGCGTGCTTTGTATATAAGTCGCAGTTGTTGAGAGCCGTCGGCACCAAGGAGATCGTCGAGCTGCTCGAGCTGGAAGATCTGCCGCGCACGTCACGGGACGAGGAATCGCTCGCGTTGCTGCGGCCGTTGATCACGTTACTGCAAACCAGCGGTGGCAATAACAGACCGGCTAAATTAGATTCCGGAATCGTGGTCGTACATCCCGAGAACGACGCGTTCGCGGACGATAAAAAGTTGTACGGTCGCGAAATGACGACCGTGTCTCCCGAAACGTCGAGCGAAGACTCGTCCGAGATACTGGAAACTGCGAGAGATCTGAATGAGGGTCTCGCACCGGAAGACGCGCCCGAAATCGCTTTGGAAGATACTCTTCATTCGAACTACGAGTGCGGTACTACCTCAAGTGACGACAATCGTCAAAAGTCAAATTCGCAAGAGAACGTGGCTCATCGAGTGCAGTCCGATTTGCAGCTGATCTACGATCTGGCGAACAGCATCAGGCCTAGCATGTCGGAGAGAGAGATCGAGGAGATCGTTTTAGAGATGGACAAGAGAATGAGAACCGTCAGAGAGTCGTACAGAGACTCGTCCGGGCTGCAGAATTTCATCTACGAGGTAACTCGCGCCGCGGAACTTCATTGTTACAACACGTTTCTGGAGAACACGTCCGGGCAGTTGCTCCGCACCACCCGCAACGATTACATCGTGCGACAATTCGCGAGAGCCTTTATCGAGGTGAACGCGCCCGCTTACGCCAGATGCAGTTGCGGCTATCCCTGTCCCATGGACGAGGCCGTGGAGCCGAAGTTTCTGACAATCGGCGAGTTGCTGATCAAACGACACGCGAACGAGACGCCAGAGGAGTGCGGTAACATCTGCGATAAAGTACCTTACATGTGGCGCGAGTATCTGGCGGTTTGCGTTGAGCGGCGCAACACACTGGACGACCTTTTGAGACAGTGCCTTCAAACCAGAGACAACGTCGTGCTGTCGTTTCTCCTGCCCGCGCTGAACGAGCAACAGTGGGGCTGCGTGAACATGTGTCTGAACGAGATCGCGGACGGTACTTGCCTGTTCTGCGCGATGCCGTTAGCGAGGAAACCCGATTACGACGTGCTGATGGACTGGAGCGGTATCGCCCGAGAAATCATGAGGAGAGAGGGACCGGATCAGGCCGCGGCGTTTCTGACCAAACTAGAGAGCATGATACCGAACGTTAAATTAGACAGAAGGTAATCTGCAAGTAATTGAAGGCGCATTGTTTTGTTTTCTGGACCAAATTTCTGCTGTGCGAAGAGATTCGTTATTACTAAACGAGTGCGGTATCACATAGCAAACTGAAAGAACTTAATAATAGTCAGTTTCAAATAGAGTAGAAAGAAATGACGTACATGTATTTTAACAACAACGAACAGATGTTATTCTTCATTAAGAAATTTACATTGATACTGATAAAGTTTTCGTCTGTGTTACAGCGTGTTCCAGTCGATCGTATTTACAAAAATGCTGCACCACCGCGGTCTGAAGAAGTCAATTGACTTCAGTAAAACTAATCAGTTATCGTCGAAGTTCGGTACGGTGTGCTCGGCACAGGTAATCGCTATTTGTGTGCATTAAAAAATAAAAAAACTATCTGGATAACACAAAAGTCCGTCAACTGTTCGGGAAGCGTCTCTTTTGTGTTACCTAGATGTACATAGGGTGAACTACGTCGTTCGAGCATCTTGATTCGTTTGCACTCTGTGTGTACGAAAAGATTATTGATATAAATTTGTAACACAATATTGTTTCTCTTAAAATTAAATTAAAATTTTGTTTTTAGCTGATACATACTTGTGGATCAGCCTCTGTTAATCGTTACCGACTAATCAAATCGCAATTGTGTGATTCCAAGCCGTTCGCGAGAACAGTTTGTGAGAAATCGAGAGAGAAATAAAAATTTGTCTTTGTTGCAGGTTCGCGAGCAACTGGCGAAAACTCTCGAGAAGGATCTGAGACGGGCGATAGACAAGAACGTGTTCGGGACGAGCGCTCATCACTGGGGTATGCGCTACCAAACGAAATCGTCGACGTGCCCGTGCTGCACGTTGTCTCTACAGACACCGATACTACTAGGTAACAGCGGAATCGCCATCTTCCGTTGCGGTCACGCTTACCATGTAAATTGTATGATAGAGAGAAAGCTCACGAGATGTAATCTTCATCAGTAAATATTGTAAATACGAATAATAGAGAGGAAAACAAAAAAGAAGAGTCAACACGCAATTGTACAATTTTTCTTTAGAGATTAAAACTCTCTTCGAAACGTGAGATCTTTTTTGGATTTTATTTTTCTGCCATCCATTCAATAAAAAGAGAATTCCGTCTGGTTCTCTTGGCCGCAAATGCTTGGACTTTTATTATCGACATTACATTTGTCATCATCACATTCGAATCGTTGAGCAAACGAGTTTTCACATTGTGTGTCGCGAAAAAGAAATCGAGATCGTAGTAAGTTACAGAGATCTTTCGTTTTGTCTCGTACATTTCTTTCTGTTTCGATCCCATCGTACTTTTGCTCGCTTCGTTACACCTTATCAGTTTTCTTTCTTTTTTTTTTTTTTTTTTATATATGAAATCAAAGACACAGTATCACTAAAATTACGCAATCGTAATTCAACCATAAACTTCTCGCTCGCAACATCCTCAGATACGTGCGACGACAGAACAAAATTGTCTCGCGCGCAAAAAAAAAAAAAAAAATCCTCCGCGATTGATTGTCTTCACGTAAGTGAAGTTGTTGCGACAGAAAAATTTTTGTATAGAAAAAGAGAGAACGAACATATACATCTACACTCATAGATAAAAATATTACATTTAGTCATCTTTTTTGTCACTTACCTTATTCGATGTGTTATTGAAAACTATCTACTTATACAAAAAAACGTGTAAATATATGTAAATTCACACGTGTGTGTGAATATGAAATTCAGCGTGATCTACTTGTACATATATATATATATATATGAGTTTTCTCAAAGAGATCGCGACTAAAACGCGTCTCGGACGTTCTTGCGCGTTTCTGTTATGTAACTTCGTTGTGTTATCTCATTATTTTTAGCGTAAAAAGTGGACATTCGTATATACTTAAATTACTCGCGATTTATTAGTATATCTCGAGTGAGATTTGAAGCACATATGTTTGGAGTATATACGCGCAAACGAGCATATTAGTGCGTGTATACTCCTTGCGATCGCAAGAGAATCGTGTGTGAAAACTTAGCAAAATCTTTTTCTATAAGTAACTAAATAGGTACGCGTAAAAAAAATGGTACTTGTATAATTGTATACACATTCCTTTGAATTGTATGCGTCTTCTTATATAAATGTGAATTCTCTGTATATAAAAGACACTATCATATAGAAGCTACTTAGCTGTAGATGATCTTAACGACTTTCAACGCGCGTCTTATGTACAATGCAACAACACTGATGGACGTCTGTGATTTGTCTTTCCATAAAAACAAAATGGAAAACTTATTGTTACAAATATATATATACAAAAATTATAAAATTTGATGTGTAGAAAAATATTTACTAACAAGTGAACGACTTTTATATACATTAATATATCACAGTTCGAATGTATATATATACTGTATATACCTTTACTCATTTTTTTTTCTTTTTTCATCACAAGAAGACTAGATCGTGCGTTGAATAAATCTCTCGAAAATCTCTTTGGTTTTACTTTTACGTATAACTCACTTTCTTGCGTGTCGTTTGTTAAAAAAAAATAGAGCGACATAAAACTCTCTCTAGTCTTTTCAACAAAATTGTATCAAATTTGTACACAGCATATTGTTTACAAATAAAATTGTTTCTCTGTTATTCTTTAAATGGAGATCATTGAGAAACGTCGTGACGTTTGGCGAGATACTTGTAAGATACTTGTAGCAAAGGCTCATCCTTGCTCACAACGATGAAAAATCTGACATCCTAGAGTGCAACACAAATCGCATCACGATTAAAGTATCTTTACAAAAAAAAAAAAAAGATTTTCTATAAAAAGTTTACAATACAAGATGGAAGCAGAAAATTTTCATATGTGTACGTAAATTTTTTCGATATGTACGTGTTTTGATTTTATGCTTCCATTCTTGTGCGAGTTGCGATCGCAGCGCGTTTAACAATTATATCTCTTTCAAAAATCTCGATTTGCCGCGAGCGGACGAACAATTTAAAATTTTGCATCAACTAGACTTGTCATCGGGTTCAAGCAGCGTTTGTTTAAACGAGATGTATAAAAGCTACTTGGCAACAGAGAAAAACTTATGCTTTGACAAGAAAAAATGTTTCATAATAATACATTGCCGCGTTTTCTCACGAAGAGACGACCGTTTTGATGGTTTTGTGTGGCAAATAAATGAACTAAATAGTAAGATCGAATTGTACATAAAGAGAGAAAACAGAATTGGTCGATCTTAACACGTTGTTCTTCCTGTCTCGTATGCTATTATCAACATCTTGAAAAAAGATAAATTTGTTCTACACGCGCGTGGAAACAATATAAAAATTATACGCAAACAATAAAAAAAATAAAAAATAAAAAGAACGGAAAGAGATAATATTCTGTATACATACGATTTGCGTGTTTTTACATACGACAGCGTTTGTGGTACACAAACTTTGTACTACCGTGTACACATGCACATTGGACAACGTGTTAACATATAATCAATATATGTAAGATATCGAGTTGTTATACAGTGATTTTTTTTTTTTTTTTTTACACAATGAGTTTTAACATCGTCATCCGAGGAAGTGGAAGACGTTTTGAAATAGAAATGTGTGTTCGTCCGAACTCACTGCGTTCACGTTGTATAATTCACGCAAATTAATACACGCGCATATGTATATATATATATAGATATATAGAATTAAATATACAAACTAAATGTATATAAATACAGAGCTGCAGTCTGCATTGTTTACACTTACCCAGCACGTATCCGTATACAAATTCTCTCCCAGGGCAAGTTTATCAGATTCACTCGCGTCTCTCAAACGAGAGCGAGTTTAGCGCAAATAAAATGCTATTTTATGCGAGAAATAAAAGTGACAAAAGTTTGATTATCGCAACGGTGATAATAATGCTTATTATGTGTATACGTCGGCGGAAACAGTTTCTATATAAGTTTGTTCGTTGAGCAAACACGACACACCTCTCACGAGAGGTGTGGTGTTATCGTGCACAAAAAAATAAAGTAAGTATATGAGAGCAGAAATTGTGATGCAACGAAACAAATTTATGCAGAGATAGTTGTCGAAATTGCGCACAAGATATCTCTCGAACAATTTTTAATTATGAAATTATTTACGATATTGCGTATGCGTTTCATGTATAAGTGCACATCATATGTCACTTGTTTATTAAAAGTTACGGTATTTTATACATTTACCGAGAAAGCACAAATAAATAAACGATCCTGATGACGAATATTTTGTGCGCAATTTCTCATAATAACGCGTTTTTTTCTCTTTTTTCTAGAAAAATAGTTCAGTAATTGTAAGACGTTCGTATCACATTGTCATTAGATGACTTTTTGCAGCAATAATGTACTTGAGTAAAAAATTGTTGATTAATACTGCATATAAGAGAGAACAGCTACATATCTCTAATCTCCTAAAACGCTTTCTTGTATAAAAACAGTAACAGTGCGTGTTATAATAATCTAAGTCAGAGAAAATTATCGCCAGTTTTAAATTCAATACTACAAATCCAATATATAAAGTACATGTATATATGTATGTATATATATATATATATACATATATGAAAAATATACTGACATATACAAATGTGTATAACACATATCACATTTATATGTATCATATTTTTTCATATACATATACAATTTTTTTCTATCAAAACTACACATTCTGGACTTCGACTGAAAAACAGCAAGCGATACGTATTTCTTGTCATTTAAATAGCAAGTTTGTTCGCACGTAATATCGAACATGAATGGAGCGTTACAAAATTGAATTAAACATATAGATACACAATTTTTTTTTTTATATATAGTCAAATTTCAAGTTTCAAAAAAAGAAAAAAAAAAGATTTGCTATTCTTACTTAAATTAAAGATTCTCTGGCAATTTTGCACAAACAATCGCATTTACGCAAAGTCGACAGGACTATCCACAAAGCAATTGTGCACCGTTCAGAATATTTAACGTGCAATTTATGGGCGCGTTTTTTTTTTTTTTTTAAGTTTCCTTTCGAAGAAGGAAAGCAGAGATATTTCTCCTCGTGTACAAAAAAATCTCGGTGTACACTTTGAACACGTTAAATTGTGCACTGTTGGATTCTTCACACAGACATATTATGTCGATTAATAATAACAATGATTAAAAGATTCATTCCTTGTGCGACATAAATGAAATGAAAACGATCGAATGCAAAGTATGTATATGTATATATATACATATATATATAATACATATATCATTTGCATGTTATTAGACGCGCTGTATAAATTCATGCAAGAAATAATTTGTCTTAAAGGAAAGAACCCTTTTGTTTTTTTTGTTTTTTTTTTTTAACGCTGCGGTAAGTAGATCGTAAAACGTATTGTCACCTTGATCATATATATATGTAGCAATTAATAAAAAAAATTCCAGAGTTAGATCTGGTTGTCAAAATTTACATGAACAGTGACTTACAAATATTCTAAAATATAATACAACATTTAGAAAGTGGAGATATGTTGGCATGATAACTGGAAATATATATATATGTCTTCTTATATATAAACACATGCATGTATCTCTTTTGAGAAATTTCATTTCTACATAAAAAAAATTAAATAAAACTTTTGATTCTATCTCCCTCTCTCTCTCTCTTTTTTCGTGTAAATCATATTAAAACTTTGAACACAAAGGTAAAAATATATCGTTTTGCATATATGTGCTATCTAGTAAATTTATATAAATCAAAAAAACATTTCTACCTGAACGAAATATCTCAGACTGTATATATGTATATGAATCACATAAAATTATAAATATTATCAAAAATACGTCTTTACGCGCGCGTTCTTACTGTTTTGATATATTCAGGTTTGTTTGTATACAAAAATACTTGAGAATTGCGTCGATATAATTAGAACGTTCAAAATAAAAATATTTTTTTACTTTCTCTCTCAAATGTGGAATGTGTTCAAACACGTCGGAATAATACCAACACAGTTTTTGCACTTCAGAGTCATTTCGCATTAAAAACTCGGTTTTTTTTTTTTTTTTTTAGAATGATCGACTCCGTCGCATGCAGCGGTAATAATACGTGTGTGCGGATCGATTATCTAAAATCGACCGATTTGTATAAAAGTCAAATTGTTTAGTTTCATTAATTTATAATAAAATTCACAATTCTTTGCGTTTGAAATATCGAAATATATATATACACACATATATATGTGTATGTGTGTGTATTTATATACATGACACATAACTTTGCCACTAATTTGTGTCACATTAGTGAACAATTTGACAATTGAGATAATATTATTATTATTAATCACTTTGATTCACTTAAATATTATCCGTATAACCAACGATTGTCATCGTTGATTATATATTATTTAAAACAGCAAAATATGAATATAAAAGTTTTTTCATGCATATACTAGTTCTCTTACAACTTAGAATTATATAAAATATCAGGAATCGGTCACACAGGAGTAATTGCGTTTTGTGAAAATTCCTACTCACATCTTTTGGGTCTATGAAAATGTAAATCTCTGATAACAATTTGTATACAAAACTTGCTTTAGCCGTTATCCGTTTCTTTTTCTTGTGAATTTATTCTAATTAGCACAATTCTCGTATCGACAACAATTTGTACACAGTTCTTACGTTTGTTTAACACAATTGCATTTATTCTTAATTTTTTTTTATTACGTGTACTGCATTCCTGATATTTTTTTTTTCGAAAAGCGAACCGTGTGAAATTTGTGTTTATTCGAGATTTTTCTCTAATAGCCTCTTTTGCGCTACCAAAGCTCTCTTCGTAACAGAGATCTCTCCTTCAAAGTCATTTATCGTTCGCGCCACAATTATTGGCGTGATTTAACATCGACTAATGAATTCTACAATTCTATTCCGACTAACTAAATACATGGAAGAACTCTTATGAAAATGCTCTCGCAATCTTGTTGCGTTCACGCCAATAATCATGAAAGCGATGTCGCGTGCGCGTCCATGTTAGACGCGCACGTATATTTACAAATACGTGTTACGGTTCGTCACTTTTTCGAAAAAAAAAAAAAAACTTGACAAGTGAGCTCAGGAACTTTGTAAAATCGCAGAAACAAAAGCATCATCGTTTCTTCTCTTTTTCTTTTTTTTTCTTGCTGTTAGGAATTTGTGTGTACAGAATAAAGTAAAGACATGTTTGGCATTTGTATTTTTACAAGCGTAAATATGTATTATATTAAGATACAATCTTGCATCCTTGTAGAAAGAAGATGTCGATGGTTTCTCTCGCGCAGATTGTGTGATTCTTCGTTCTTCTTCTTCCCTTCGTTCTTCGCACTCCGAACGATTTCTCGTTTTTGTTTTCTTCCAGTTTTGTTTTTTCTTCCTTCCTCGACAATTCTTCGTGCGGACAGTTCAATCGCATCGTATAATACCGTTCTCTCGCATTAGACACAGAAATGTCACTCAAGTCTTTCTCTTCTACAATCCGCGCGAATATCTTTCTCTCTCTCTCTCTCTCTCTCTCTCTTGTTTTTACGCAATATATATATATATATATATAACTAATATTTACTTGATTTTAACCTACGATCCGACTAAATGAATATATATGTTTGTTTTTTTAATGAATAATTTCTTAAAATTACTTAAAGAACAATATTTTCTTGACACATTATATATATGTGTGTGTGTATATACGCGTATTATAGTACCACTTATATATATCATATCAATACATATGTGTGAGACATAAAAGACTGATAAATTAAAAGATTTCACAGAAAAACTCTTGTTTTTCTTTCTACATACTCATTATTGTAAGCTCAATTATTTTCAAAAAAAAAAGAAAAGAAAACAAAGATATCCTACTTTAATTTTCGTATTATTACTCTAACTTATTCAAGAGCAACTTGTTTAAGCAAAACCTTTTGAAATTACTCTCCGACCACATCGTTTACCCTACGATATATTTGATGTGACTTTGCCGTGCGTCGCTTAAAAATCTTTGGACGTCACATAATGTAATACATGTCTATGTTCAAACATTACTAACGTCATAAAACATTTGTATCTTTTACTTTGATAAGTAAGAGACAAAACGCACTGTTGCTGCTGCTGCTGCTGTAGTAGTAGTAGTAGTAGTAGTAATAGTAGTAGTAGTAGTTCTTGTCGTGCTGTCGCAGTTATTGCTTCATCAATTGATTCATTTGCATCTTATCAACTCGCGATGTCTTCATTTGTTTCTCTGTGTGTTCGTTTTCTTTTAATGTCTTGAACGATGCGACGAGTCCCCGCGTTCGTCCCGACGATCCCGTTCACGTTCTCGCTCACGTTCCCGTTCTGGTTCCCGTTCTCGCTCAGATGGCCGTCGGCTTGATTCTCGTTCTCGATCTCGTTCTCGTTCACGCTCTCTATAGCGATCGTCGTAATACCTACACAAGTCACGTCAGCCAATTATCTTACTTTAAAATGCTGCTTTGTATGTACTTCATTACATCTAGAAGTTCACTTTTTTTTACTGCAAACGTGAGAAAAATTTCATGTTACTTTTGTAAATACAAAACAACATTTTGAATATGCAACGCTCTCTCTTTTCTCTCTCTCTCTCTCTCTTTCTCACTTCGTCTCTTTTAACGATTTTAACTAACACTTGATATACGTTTCCTGCGTATACAAAAAAAACGCACAAGAAATAAAACAAATGAACAATGTAACAACAAGCTTAAAGACGATACTACGTATGTTGTATCGTACGATTATACAAAAAGATACGTGCGACATTTACAATAACATATGTGCCTAGAAAAAGTACACGTTTCTCAATGACTCGTTTTTATGCAAGTTTAATGGAAAAAAGTACCATCGAATTACAAACGGACCTCTCTCTATCTTTCTCTCTCTAGTTGTTTAGTTATAGTAATTTATAGTAATTATTTTGAATCTACTTCTTACAATCTACGTACATATATCTCTTCGATACCGGAAATAAGAGGAAGTTCGTTTCTTACAAATAAACGCGCGCGCGCTATATATAGTATATATAGTATATATATATATATATATTTCTTATCTCGCGTTTAAGCTCTACATGCATTCACTGTAATGAAAAAAAAGTAAATTACCTAGATGTCTTGGAAGATGAGACGGGTGCCGCCTCTGGCGGTTCTTCTTTTACTCTTGGCCTGGCTGATTGACGTGACGTACTAATGGAAAATGGATATAATTCTGTTATATGACGGTTTGTGTAACCTCTTAACCAGGCTTAGTACATTTTTATATAAAAACAAAAAGCAACAATTATATTCTAAGGAAACAAAAAGAGGCGTGACAACTCGAATTTTTTGATCACTTCGACATATGTAAAACCAGAGAGACAAGTTCTTGAGTAAGACGCGCTATCTCGCAATCGCAAAAGTATATAAATCACGTACACAGATACGAGCTAGTTATCGACAACGTACCATCACAATTCGATACGACAGTTTCGAGCAAAAAAGAAAAAAAAAAAAAGAAAAAAAAAGAAAAACTTCAATATAATTATTATATTAAAGTACTACACTAAATGTGTGTCGATATGTTTGTATGCGTATTAGAAAAAAAAAAGCTAAATGAATGATGCACAGGGATGTGATTCGGGATTGTTTGTGTGAAAAATCATTATGATGAAATTTAACATCAACCCTGGTACCATATACCAAGAGAAACACAAAAAAAGAAACAGTGTGCAATGAAAAGAGTAAGCAACACATCTTGAATGTTTTCAATTTTGTTTTTAATAGTTTTTTTCTTCTCATATGTGTATAATTCTGATTGACAGTTCGCGTACATGATTACAGGGTTTCATGTTTCTCTCCCTTTCTTTCTTTCTTTCTTTCTTTCTTTCTCTCTCTCTCTTTCTTTCTCTCTCTCTCTCTCTCTCTCTCTCTCTCTCTCTCTCTCTCTCTCTCTCTCTCTCTCTCTCTCTCTCTCTCTCTCTCTCTCTCTCTCTCTCTCTCTCTCTCTCTCTCTCTCTCTCTCTCTCTCTCTCTCTTTCGCTCTCTCGCTCTCACTACAATACAAATTTTCAAAACGGTTCCAGTGTTTGGAATGCGAGTCAGATCTGTTGTCACGGTAATATATTTTATACTTTTGTTCACGCATTTGCAATTTTCTTCCGGCAAATTAGGCTCTGTTTATCGTTTGCTCCGTTCGCTGTGTACAACCGTTTTTTTTTTGTTTTTTTTTTTCTGTTTTTCTACAAAATGTCAAAAATATACACTAAAAAAATATACACGTATACTTGTGAGTCTTAAACTTAAATCGGACAAACGTGAGACACAAATAATTGAAAAACTTATAAAGCGATTACGTATATAAATGTGAGGAAATGAGTATCACTTCTCTGATACACATGCCCGAGTTTGCGAAAGAACATAGAGCGAGTAGTATAGTACAGGCTCTCTCTCTCTCTTCTATGTTAAATTTTTTATATTACTATATTATTTAAATACACGCTAATAGTTTCTTTTTTTTTTTGCTTTTTGGTTCAAGACGATACTCTCATTTTACATTTAATTCGCGCGAGTACACACTTGAAATATAGAAAGACGGTGTATTGCATAATACAATAAAAAATAAATACACATAAATAAAAGTGTTTGTTTCACTCATTTGTACTTTTAAGGACTTGCTCGGTAATAAAAAGCTCGCTTTTCAAAGAAACAACAATGCAAAAATTTACTTCGTTCTACATCGGTTCTATATTTCATTATATATACTTGTTTTTGTAGCAAACGAGCCGTAATGTTGTAACTTTTGTTCTTTACACATAATTGATTCGGAATAATTTTTTGGGTAATTTTTAACCTATCTATATGTACTATAGATATATATGTTGACGTTTGTATGAAGGAAATATACATAAAATTTACACAAGCAAATACAAAATATAAGACTTACACATTAATGTAAAAATAATCGATTATTATTGACAGGATGTATTGCCAAAAGAATTGTGTGTTCCCGCCAGATATGGATTTTTTTGAAATTCGAAAGATGATTAAAAATTGTTCTCTCTCTCTTTTTTTAATGACTAATAAATTGCATCTATCGCTTCAAATGTCACGTAGAATCGCAAAAACGTGAAATTGTCTCTTTTTTGCTGCAGTTTGAACTGCATTGTTAAGATAAAATTTAATATGACAAAAGTAACAATTTTTACAGTCGAAAATAATAAAAAATGCGCTTCTATTCAATCATGCGACACAGCAGATCGTTATGTATGCGGTTTCTTATATGCACTGTGTTCGTTTCTTGCATGTATATAAAGTACTGACACTCTATCCCTCGCGCTACTTCTTCGGAGCATTACATGTTGTTTGTTTATTTGATAAAAATAATACTAAGATTCCTTCTCGTTTCTTCTCTAAATTGCGACATAGACGCACAATATTGTAAAAATTCCATGGTGACAACGCTATTAACAAGTGACGTAAGAAATCAGCGCAAAAAAATTATCATCTTCCAAAATCAAATAAGAGTTTGTGCAATATAATTTTACACAATTATCGATAAACATCTTTTGTAACCATCAAAGGAGACTCTACCCAAGTTCTTAAAATTGTTTACTTAACAGAAGATCATCCTTACGCGACAAAAACACGCTCAGTAAAGGCAAGTAAAATTTAAGAGTCTGTGAGATTATGTATAGCTTACCTTTCTTCTCTGCTTCGCTCTCTATATTCACGATCTCTTTCACGTTCACGTTCTCTATCTCTGCTGCGTGATCGTTCTCTCGGATAGGGTTCGCTGTAATAACGTTCCCGGTCTCTATCGCGTTCTCGCTCCCTCTCGCGATCGCGCTCACGATCGCGTTCTCGATCGCGATCTCTGCTGCGTTCGCGATATTCGCGGTCCCGACTTCTGGACCGCTCGCGTCGTCGTCTGTGACTGCGCTCTCGGTCGCGCGAGCGCGAACGTTCTGTAAAAAAAAGTTGTTTACCATAAACGTAAGAAGAGAGGTGCTACCTCGCGGCCCAAAGTCCCGCCCGTTATTTCCTCCTATCGCTGTCAGTTGTGGTGGGAGAGATTTTGAACCACGATCTGGCGTCTTCGTTTAAGAATCGACTGATTTGATTGTATTTAATTGACACGAGCGATAAAATCGACCGATTCTCAAAACTCTAAACTTCAATTCAAATTTTTGGGAACATTTTATATGTTGATTGTAACAGGAAATACACGATATATGTAATAATACCTCTACGACCGGAACCATAACTCTTTGTCTCGACACCGCGTAGAGTATCCTGTAAGGCGCTAATAAGAATCTTGCACCTGTCATCGGCAGCTACTTTGGACTGTTTTATTAGCGAGATGGCAGTGACAAGTGTCTCAATGGCACTTGCATATTCTCCCGCCGCTGCGTCGGATACCGCTCGCGCAATAGCGGATGAAGAAACTGTGCGATTGCGCCCCATTATTTCTTCAAATTCTTGCTCGGTAAGTGGTGGTGGACCTTCCGGTCGATGATCTGAACCAGGTGCGCCGTATGGTGTCTAGAATAATACATATTTATATTCCAAACTTATAAAAATTTAGTTCAAGCAGTTATGCGACAATACGTTACCTGTGCACTTGGTGGACCATAGCCGTGTGGAGGTACATGGGGCGGTCCATGTGGTTGTCCGTGCGGCGGTCCGTGTGGAGGGCCATGAGGAGGCCCATGAGGTGGCCCATGTGGTGGACCATGCGGCGGACCAGGTGGACCCGGTGGATGTTGACCTGGATGTTGATGAGGCGGTCCTTGCGGGAAGAACGCAGGATTCACATGAGGAGCCGGTCCACCTGGAGGTCCTTGAGGTGGTCCCTGTGGCGGTCCTCCATGTCCCGGAGGTGGTCCTCCTGGACCTATCAATGAATTTGATTGAACGCTACTCCGAAGCAATTTATAACGCCAGTCGAAACCATGTCTGTTTACTTACAGAATCAAAGATTTTCAGCATAATTTGTATTACAATTATATAATTATAATCCCCTCCAAATAGTATGTAAAGTAAATTAATTTCGAATATTTAGCAAAATTCAGTTGTAGACGCATAAATATGGTGCAATAAAACATAAACTGCATTTTAGAAATTCGTGAATTCGCTAAATGTGATACGTCTTTCGGTTTTAATTTACGAAATGATCCTTTGAAACACCTTGCACCCCAATGCTTCTGCCAGATCAATTTCCCTCAATATCATGCATCTCGTATATAACATGGCTAAACGATCGGCTAATGAAGTTCGTAATTACGAACGAGCATTTCTAAGTCTCTCACCACCCATAGAACCTGGAGGAGGTCCTCTCTGTGGTGGGCCTTGGCCAGGCTGCGGCCCTTGCAAATGTTGATGTTGAGGGAAACCGGGTGGTCCCTGAGGCCCATGATGCATTCCTATGCACATATTGAACAAGTCTCATCAGTAATACCAAGCTGCCCCGTCGAAATAGATCGAGGATTACACAGTACACTACTACTACTCCATTTTTGTGCAGTTTTTGTTCACGAATTCCCAGTGTCCTAATTTTTTTTTTTTTAGCTATCGTTTACGCGGTCATGCAAAAATTGAGAAAGCACTACGAGTACAAGATGTTTCAGAGGAGGTGATGAATTTTTAAAACTTTTCTTTATTTTTCTTCTTTATTTGTGTAAACGATACTTTTTGCAAGGATAAACGAAAATTTCAAAACGATAATAACAAAAAGTCGGTCTGCGCACAAACCTGGCGGTCTATTCCATTCTGGGCGTGGTTGAGTTCCTCTAGGATCACCTGGAGGTCCACCAGGATGTCCAGGCGGGCCGCGTGGAGGTCCTTGACCAGGTGGTCCGGGTGGACCGCCATGAAATTGCTGAATGAAGACAGATAAAGATTCTATTTCATTTTACCATAATTGCACAGTTGATCATAGTCTAGTTTCACAGATGACATTGTTTAGTTTCACGAAAGAGAAATTTTCTGTTTTATAATTCCAAACACTCTTTATATTTAAATAAGTAAAACAGTTAACCGCACGGCACGCAATTAGTTTCGCAAGAAGAAAAGTAGAAACAGAAAAAAAACCTCATTAATCGGTTACCTGTGACATATGATAACTGCCTTCTGAAAGGTCTCTAGTGCAACTCTGTTTACGCGTAAGACATGAAAGTGCAAAATATATTTAAGCCTGTACTACATAATTACTTATAAAATAAACAAATATGTATTAATTAGTCTATTGAAAACTGTGCAGATTTCTGCATATTTTAGTCACGCAAACATTTGGCTTGTATTATATTCTATGAAAAAAACAATACAACATGTTTACATCTCAGCATTCAGATTCTGCCCAGTTTAAAGATCCTCTACAATATCACAAAAATTCTGTAAAGTATATCTGAATCACAATGACATAACGTTTTCTTCTACGATTTATTTTTCAATTCAAATACGTAATGTTTTGAATTTCAAAACATATACTCGTTTTATAAACAGTACACTTTGCATTCTCATTAATCGCTTAACAGTAACACTAAGAAATACAAAAACACAGAGTGACTTGGAATCGCGATATATTTATACTTTCTTCCTGGATACTTATTTAGTTTAACAATTAACAATGAGTTTATTGCATTATGTTTATATTATTTACTTTCTTTGCATAACAGTGTCTGGAGATTCGAAAATTGCAGAACGACTAAAGTCCGGCGGGCAAAGTGCATGCAAGTTTTTGCAAATAAAAAATGCGAAAGATAATTTTTCTTGCCAGAGAAAATGCAATAAAAAGAGATTTGTCTGTGATACGTACCATTCCCGGTGGTCTATGCTGTCCTGGTCCTGGACCAGGTGGACCTTGCTGAGGCGGGCCTCCCGGTCCACTGGGTCCTCGTGGCGGTCCAGGCGGACCGTTGGGTCGTGGACCATTCCATGGTCCTTGCTGATAGCCAGGCGGCGGACCTTGATTAGGATGACCTGGCAACGGATGATGTGGTCCTGGGCCTGGGCCCATTGGCGGACCATGCATACGCGGCGGGCCTTGTTGACCCGGTCCGCCAGGTCCTGGTGGACCCATTCCTGGCGGCGGCATTCTTTGTGGTCTTACACCCTGCGGTGGTCCCATCATCATTCTGGGTCCGTGATTTTGCTGTGAGTGCTGAGGATGTTGTGGATGTTGTGGATGTTGCTGGTGCGGCGGCAGAGGTGGTTGATGTTGATGCGGATTATGAGGGCGCTGACTCTGGCTTTGTTGCGGAGCAGGCGCAGGCCGTGTTTTGCACTGTGATTCGAACTGCGAATACACGAAAACAAATTGTCTTATTATTATGCACGAGTCTACTTGCCGTCGCAAAAATCAAAACGTACTCATCATTTGCTGTGCAATAATACGTACTTGATTAAGAGCTTGCTTTGAAGGATAAGTAACAATAGGGTTTTGACCGTGCAGTTCTTTCTTCGGTAGTCTCTCCATGCACATTCTCATACTCTGCTCAGAGCCTAAAGATATCACGCAGAATCCTTTGGATTGACCGTTGGCGCGATTCTCGAAGAATTTCACCTCAACAAAATCTCCCACGCCAATGCTTTGGACCGCGTCTGTTATATCTTGATCACTAGTCCACTGAGAAAAAAAGAAAAACATTATTGTGTGAACAGTTTTTCAAGAGACTATCACAAGAATACTGTAATCTTTATCAATCTTTGAAAACGTAGAACACTCAATGAAGAAAATATATAAAACTCTAACAGAATTTTGTTTTGAAATCTTTGCGCGCATGTATGTACCCAAGTCAAATTTCCAACGTATAGCTGATGTCTCCGGCCAATTTGATTTGGTTGAATATTATTTCCAAGTTGATGATAGGGAGCGTTCCCGTTCGTCTCTTCGTTTGGAGATGTAGAATCGCCACCACCGTCGCCTGCGTTACCAGAAGAAACACCACCGTTACCACCAGCTGGAGCAGCAATCACATCATCATAAAGATCAACACCATCACCAGCAAATTCGTCCTGAAACACAGATGCACCAACCCAATAGTACGATACAAGAAGTAGGAGAACAAAGATAACAAAACAGTGACTTTGCTAGTACTTGTTTCTTCCTTTTTTTTTTTTTTGGACAGTAATATTGACATACATGATATGGAAGACAGAGACTAATTGAAATACACAACAATATATGCAACAATAAATTTTTTTTTACAGTATATGTGTGCTGTACGTGTTACAGTCAAAGTGCAAAATACTTCTACACATACTGATATTGGAAATTGAAGTACAACAACAAACAAATATTCTACGCTTTCGAAGAGAAGCTAAAAAATCTATATCTTCTTAATCGTGTAATGATCTATTAATAAATTAGCGGTAATACATAGTAAACCACTATGTTGCAGAATCTGTGTTATCGCCAAGGAGAAATTCTTTCTTTAAATTCTCTACTTTCGTTGTAGAAAGTACGAAATTCATGAGAATACGTGAAGTGCGCGTTGTTATCTGAGCGAGTTGCACTTGCAAGCACTGACTGCGAATCAGCAAGATGTATGCGAGCAGTGAAATCTTTTATACAATTTGTGGCGATAACAACCGTTAACGTTATCGCAAGCGCCGCTCGATAATAACAACACAACTTCGAGAGACAACATTCTCCTTGGACTAGTACTTTGTGAAAATACTTAGACGAGAGATCAAAGTGTAAAAAAACTTTAGAAGTACCATTTTCTCTTATAAAGCGATTTTCCTTTTCTTTCCTTGTGGTTCAAGCGATCAACGGATCATACACTTCGACTGTAACAGATATGCAGATATACAAAACTTTTTTGCATTTTGGACAAAATGATCAGACGGGGATTGAAGTCAATATAATTTCGAATAATCTAACCTTTTTGCATTGTTTGCGTTTTACATTTGTTTTTTTTTCGCAATTTCTGCAAACTGCAGCACTACCGGTGTGTGCGTTTATCGAAAATGCAATAAAAACATTTTCTCTCGAAAGAAGTACATTCGAGAAAATTTTTATCGCCACAGAGAGGGTGAACGTCTTATTTTTTTTTTATTTTAATTCTCTCTCTCTCTCTCTCTCTCTCTATCTCTCTATCTCCCTTTCATGCAAAAATTATATAAATCGTCATCTCACGTGCGTGCGCCACACGTAAAAAAAATCGATTATTTTTTAACGAAATTATACTAGATTCAATCCCTCACTACAGTATTCTATACAACAGCGGTTTTTTTTATAACAAAAAAAAAAAAAAGATTCTAAAACAGACGAACAGAAAATTTAAATAAGAAAAAAAAAACAAGACAAAAAAAAAACAAATTAAGAATCCAAAAAAGAGAATGTCAGTTTCAACATGCAGTGCGATGCAGCGGAGTGCGTGTGTGTGTGCGTTTGCGCGTGTGTGCGTGTGTGTGCGTTTGCGCGCGTGTCGAAATTAAGAGAAAAACTTCGAAGAAAAAAAAATAAAAACAAATAAAAGAAGTAAAATAGTGATGGTAGTAATAGTACTAATACTAGTAGTAACAGTAGTATAATAGTAGTTACACAGTAGTAGTAGTAGTAGTAGTAGCAGTAGTAGAACAAGAAGAAAAGGACATGGAAATATGCGAGAAGAGTAAACTGTACACGACATTCGCCTTACCGCTAGCACCATTTTGGTTCAATTCTTGATGCGGGACTCGATTACTGTTTTTGCGCTAGCACTTTAGCTCTCCGGGAACGCGCGCACGCACGATCGACGGCAACGGAGAACAGGACGCACTTTATGGTTGCCAATCGGCCAACAGCGAGGAGACGGCGGCGGTTGGACGGCCCGCCGACAAAGAAGATAGGATTACGGAGGAGCAAACGAAGGCTCGAAGATGAACCCTCTTCCAGTCTTCGTGGATGCTCGCGCGATCGCGCGCAGAACGCGGAACTTATAAACGATCACCGTCGGCGCGCCGCGGTCGAGCGCGGCGATATTATCTCACGAGGTGCTGGCGGGAGGACGCCGAGTGACGCCAGCCGATCGTTAGCAACGGCCGACCGTCCACCATGACGCCGACATATTATCACTTTCGGCGCTGCGCGTCGCGCGCGCGAAGAAAACCGACACGGTTCTCTCGAGATTCTGAATAACCGACGACGACGACGACGACGACGACGATAATTTCACGACACGCGCTTTTATTAACCCAACTCGTGGGAGACGCGGAGACGCGACGACGGAGATCGTCGCGATCCTATCGACACCGCACACACCGCGATCACTTACTTTGTCGGTTCGCTCGGTCGTGTTGTCGGAGCGAGAGAAAAAAACACCGCGCGGTGGCGATCGTTTCCTCTTTTTTTTCCTTCGATTATTCAACGGAGGGGAGGGGGGAGAAGTAAAGAGAGAGAAAGAGCTCGCGCGCCCCAGCCCTTTTTAAAATACTGCTTATCAAAGATAAGTGCGAGTTACCTGCGCGAAATCTTGCTCTAGATCGTCGGCGTATAAATCAATGTCGCCGTCAGCCATTTTACGTACACCGACGCTCACTACCAACTATTCAAGAAACGACGGAATAGATAGGCGCCGCGCGCGCCCGTGTTGATGCCGAAACCGGGTTCCCGGAGGTAAGCGCGATGTGAGCGCGCCATACGGCCGATTGGAAATTCCGCCGGCCCGCACGCCAACGCCGGAAGTGACGTCACAAAAGCCGGTAGAGAATGGCGCGACCGGCCCGCAGCCGGGCCGCTGATTGGTTCGTCGATCGATCGCTCGATTCGCGCGTTTCCGGGTTCCGAAATCCCCCCATCGGACGGAACGAGGAGATTTTTGGGAACGCGGAATTTTAGGAGATTAAGGCTAGATTAGAGTCCCTGGAAATAAGAGTCTGGCCAATGTTGTCAAACTTTTCATTGGTTCTGAAACAAAATGGCGGAACCAATGGATAACGTTATAGCCACACATTAAATTTGATTTAAATAACAGTATGCCTGTTCATGGTGGTAGCATTTTTTGCTCTTATAATCTTCTCTTTCTTTCTTTTCCTCCAATGCTCGAATATATATATCTTATTTTACGTATAAAATTGGTAATTTAAAGTAATATTAACAAATTAAAACAGCCAATTACGCAACAACCAGTCATTTTCTGCAAAACAAACACATAAATAAATTTGCAATTATTCTATCAAATTGCTAACAGAAGGTTAGAATGTCATTTTTTGTTGCACAGTGTCTGTACATACCTATTTTTCTATCATAGGTTTTATGTCCAATTTCTCCAATTCTGAATTAGTTTTAGATAAGATACAATATATGTTTTTATATATTTCTTCAAAGAATAGCTATCGGGAGATATAAGGAAATCGGCCTTAGGGCCTCCGCACAAACTCTTTCTTAACGCGTTACGTTACGTTAAGTTGGCTATGAACTTAGATTTGTACGTAAACTTGAACGTTATTCAACGCACAAACTAATATTTAACGTAACGTAACGTTAATTACTAGTCATAAACTTAAATTTGTATGTAAACTTGAACTTTATTCAACGCACAAACTAGTACTTAACGTAACGTAACGCGTTAAGAAAGAGTTTGTGCGGAGGCCCTTATACGATATAGAATACGATATATATAGTAACTATCGACGCCATTTTGTTTCAGATTAAACATTGGCCAGACTCTTATTTCCAGAGACTCTAGTCGCAAGTGGCGACTATTGTTTATTGCGCACGAGACCTGACCCGAACGATTGAAACCGACGAATCGCATTGATCGATCGCGATTCGATTCGAGCCGAATAAATTTCGAGCAGAGTTTGTTCGCGCATTGTTGCGAATAGATTTCTCGATCGAACTGGACTTTTTATTTAAAAAGAATTTAAACCCCCGCGGACAAAATATGCGACTCTCTCTCTGTCCGCTTCACTTACGCGAGATTCCTCGCGTATGTAAATAATTCACTTCACCATGTAGTTGCGTAACGAGGAATACACTGTTATGTAGTATTTATAATTTATCGAGCGGGAAGGAGATGTGCCGTCAGAAAGATGCCTTACAAGTCGCTGGCCGTGCACAATGCCGCTTGTAACGAGATATATTACAGATTTCAGGACTGCGAGAATGAGGTAACGCGCGGAGATTGAGATTGTCGAAAGACAACCGGAGCTTCGGCGACTTCTTTAAAATCGGGTCTCTCTGTGCTTGCAGCATCCGTACCGACGGTTCTTCGGACAGTGCGGGGATATTCTGAGAGAGATGAACAAGTGCATCAAGGAGCAAGTAAGTCACCGACTCCTAATTGACTCTTGAGAACAAACGAATCAGCGAATCGCAAATTGCTGTTTGTTTGCAGAGAGAGATTCGTAGGAAAGAAAGCTCGCAATACAGGCAGAAGAAACTGCACGGGACGGAGGATAGTAGCGATTAACCTCCACCCCCCGTGCGAAGCAATGTACAAGCAATTAGTTTAATCACCAATAGAATTAATTTAAATAACAACGGAGGAAGTGTTGCTGTCTGGCGAAAATCAATTTGTGATAACCTCAGCTGACATGAATTTGGAATCGGAGATGAACGAGCCAGAGAGCAAACGACTGAAGTCTGAGCACGATCATGAGATGATCTCGTGCAAGGAGCAAGTCGATGAGAATGGCGACGAGAGAGAACCAGACAGCGACAATGAGGTACCGGCCGATGACTGCGACGACGAGTCGTTCACGTTTCCTCCCGATGAGAACGTTTCCGACATGTTAGACGAGGTGCGGTACAACGGTTACTTCCCGACTATTACGGACAGATACTTGAAACCCTATTACAAGATTAACGTACAATTCCCGGGAGACGATATATGCATACGGGTTCACAGCAATCGCATCTGCATGTTGTCTCTGGCGCCCAGCCACGTTGTTTTGCAGGGCGAAAAAGTGATAAAAAATGTTAACTTCAAGGTAAGCGACAAACTGGACAGATCCCTGAACAAAGTCAAGGGTAAGGGAAAGCACGGCGCGCAGCCGTTGCAAACTAACTCGAATATCTGTACCATATCCTGCGCGGACGGAAAAACCTATGTGATTAAGTGTTGCATGATCGGCAAGTTGGTGGAGATAAACGAGATGTTGCTGGAAAATCCGCAACTTCTCCGAGAACCACCGCACAGAGGCGGATACTTGGCTATAATATTGCCAAATATAAATCTGCTGGACAGTTTGAAGGAATCACTGTTGACTCACGAGCAGTACACCGAACTTGTTGAGAAAAGGGAAGAGGACAAGCAACGCATAAAGTTGGAGTCGGTGTAAAAACAAACTTGAACTGTACAGCGAGTACAAAAATTATTTTTTCATAAACCGACTAATAAAGGAATAAAAACTGTCCAGAGTTTCGGAAATGGTCAATAAACCTGATTGTAAATATGTTATGCACCTTTTTGAACTCGGGGCTTACAACTTCAATTAAAATTCCATTGTTTCATCATGCATTCACATTTTATTAAGTGGCAAATTTCTACTTTAATTCCAATATAATTTAATCCAATACCAAAATACTGTTTGAATCTTTTTTTATCTGGTTTTGTTTGTTGATCTTAATTTTCTTTCTCAAGAAAAATAAGACGAAATCAATTAATACTGTTTCTTTATATAACAAAAAAAATTTATAACAAAAAATTATATGATAAATATAAAAAAAAAAAATCTAAATAATTCGATCTTTACTTTATCCGATCGTAAAAATAATAGTAAATTGTAATTTTCTTTCATTGTTTTCACTATTACTCGATCCAAGTGACTCCGTTGTCACATTTATAAACGTCTTCAAAGAGTTGAAAGTTCTATACTTGTGAGTCTAACTATAAATAATTTTTATTTGTATCTAGTGTAGCAATTTGACGCTTTGATTCTATTTTGGCTTCGCTCTCTTCTTCCGTAAGCGATTTCTTCATCAGGTTTCCTAACACGATACCGGTAAACAGTATCATACCTATCCTGTGATTGGACACGAACTTCTTCGCGCAATCCGTCGGATTGTTAATGTTCAAAGTGTATATCTGAGGAGAAACAAATTTTTTGTTTGTTTGTTGAAGAATGCAATAATCGTAAATTCAATGGCGAACAATTTGCTTGAACATTTACCTGACTGCTAATGTGCATCGCGATTATTCCAACCGCGGTGTAATAAGGCCACGTTTGAGCGATTACTACACCGGAGGCGATTAAACTCGCGATCATCGCCGTCCCAAATCCGGACAGGTAAAGCTTCGTGTTGTCACCGAATTTTATGGCGGTCGACTTGATGCCCATCATGATGTCGTCCATTCTGTCCTATAATGACGCAAGCAATTAGCGAGCGGTGCAAAAGCGCAAACGACTGTTGAGATCCCAACGGATACTTACTTGATGAGCATAGATCGTATCGTATACAATAGTCCAACAAATACCAGCTAGATAGAGAGGCAAGCAGACGGACCAGTCGCACGATCCACGCACGGCGGACCATCCTAATAACGCTCCCCAATTGAAGGTCATTCCCAGAATCAATTGGGGCCAGTACGTGACTCTTTTCATAAGAGGATAAATTACTACTAAACCTAACAAAGAGAAATATCGGTTTCACACATACGATAAAAATGTATTTGTTTTGTACTTTGTACGCGTGTTATCTCGTACCTAGTGAACTAGCACCAAGAAATATGCTATACCAATTCAATTGTAACAAAATACATAAACTCAGACTCAATTGTCCTATCAGGAACATTAATGATTGTTTTTGAGTCACTTGACCGACTACCAAAGGTCTGTTTCTTGTTCTGGCTACCTGGCAACACAAGTTTTCTATATTCTCATTGCGACGACAACCGTTGCAAAGTTGTTTGTTTTTACCATCTTATCCAAGTTCTGATCCCACATGTCGTTTATGGTGCATCCAGCTCCGCGCATTAAAACCGCTCCCGTGCCAAAAAGTGCCAACATGGAGAGATCGGGTAAGGCACCAGCCGGAGCAGCCATCGCGATGCTCCACCCGCAAGGCCAAAACAACAACCAGCTTCCTGAAGAGAAGAATGTGAGGAATATTTATTAACAAAAGCTGTTACGCATTTGTACCAAAAAATTACTACAATTCTTTTAAATTACCTATTGGCTTATCTAGTCTCATGAGTTTCATATATGGCTGTATTTTCGGTGAGGCGTTATTGACTAGCTTTGCAGCAATGCTTAAGCATCTTTTCGGATGTAAATCCACTAATTCGCAACAAGTTAACATACTTCTTGTTTCTACAAAAGAGTCGACTGTCTTTTGTGTACTAAGATATATATTACACTTGTACTTATTATGTACCATGGATAAGGTGCGAATATTTATGCATGGATGGAGATTCTTGAAGTAGACGTTGTGCGACAGCAAACTGACAATTCCAGTAAGCCGATGGCATCTTTTCATAACTAGCATTATTGGAAAAATTATTACCTACAACCTACAACAAAAGAAATATTACATCAGAACTAAATTACATATAAATTATGTAATACGTATTTTTAATATACATTATACAAAAAAAAGCTTATTACACTGACGTAAAAATCAAAATATATTGAGAAAATTAAAATACAAATAAAAAAAAACATAAATTATCAGAAGTGCGAAATATATTTTCAGAAATACAATCGTATATCGAAAAATCTGCGCGGTTAGAACACAACCTCAAAATATTTGCGCGCAAAACATTTTATTATAAAATATTATATTATAAAATTAAGTAAACAGCGAAACGAACGCGTGTGAAATACGGTCATTGAGATTGTTGGAAAATAAATCTGCATAAATTTATATTCGTTCCTCGTTGTTTGAGAAAAAAAAAATTGTCACACGTGGCTGTCAAGATCATCAGATGATCTTGCGATTATCATGTGATTTTGCACATATAAAGTGCATATTTACATCACATGCGCGTGACTTTGCAACAACGAGTCACGAAACTTTGTCTTTTTATTGCACAACGGATCGCACACCTGTTAATGACAAGTCATCATTAAGTATTCTATATCTTGATCACTTTGACTAGTTGCGGTGAACTCGCCGGCACGTTGAGAATCTTACGTGAAACTCCGACCTTCGCGCTAATTGGCCGCAACCTTCCGTAAGCCATAACCGAATTATTACATAACGTCATTATTATTGTTTACGGAAATGTCATATATTATAATCTTAACACACTTATATCGCAAGAGCGCGATGTGTCGCAATTTCACAATTTATATTTAATGACAACTTATCGTTCTCATTTCTTCGCTCGAGATCGCGCGAATCCTCGTCGTATTCATTCAAAATCCGAGCACAGAAGAGAAAAGGAATAATAAAAACTACGAGATGAGCTTCAATGGCGGGATCTATTTTTGACAAACATAACCTCTCATCGCACACTCGTCGTCCAACGATCTCGCGATCTTTCAAACGTGGCGCCAACGCGCGATCATCGCGTCGCAGAAGGGAGTTCCATTGATCGAACTGTGACGTAAACACGTGTGCATACGCGCGCTATAGAGATACATATATTATATATATGTATATATATATATATGCATATATACGCACTAGCCTTTGAACACCAGTTATCCTGTTCGATATATGCTGCTGGTCAGTCTCGCGACCGGTGCGCGACGTTGTCTACGTGCGACCATGTCCGCCGTCACGACGAAGAAGCCGGAAGTTGTGTTCGTCCTCGGTGGCCCGGGTGCTGGTAAGGGCACGCTTTGCCGCTACATCGTCGACCACTATGGTTATGTGCATCTGTCGGCCGGCGATCTCCTGCGCGAGGAGCGCGCCAAACCCGGCTCGATATACGGCGAGCTCATCGAGACTCACATCCGAAACGGCACGATCGTACCCGTGGAGATCACTTGCAGTCTGCTCGACCGTGCCATGCAAACATCCGAGAATCCGCACCACCGTTTCCTGATCGACGGCTTCCCCAGGAATCAGGATAACCTCGACGGTTGGAACAAGGTATGGCGTTTCGGGGATGGGGGAGGAGGCGATGATTAAATAATAAATTTTTGACGAAAAGTGTCGTTCGTGCGTATGGTTTCTCGTTTATTTCACGCAGAATTGATGACTTTCGAAAAAAACAGTTTTGAAATATCTTAATTTTTATCTAATTATCTCTCCGTGCTGACATCTACATGGCTGAGACTGTGTGATTATTTAATTGCATTAATTGCTTGTTTCAATTTAAAAAGCGCCTAGACCACAAGCAACCTCGCCGTGCTTCTGAGCACGGACCTTGTATTCTTAGGGTCCGTGCTACCGAGGCGATAAAGTTGTCTAATTTCCGAGCTGTCAACGCGCCTTGGAAGTAGGCAACTCACTGTGCTCTCTTTGTGTGCGACGGGCTGGCTACTCTTCAGGCGTAATTTAGACGTCGCGTTGCGACGCGTCGGATTATTCCGCGACTGTTGGCAATGTCTGAAACAGTCTCTCTTACATTAAAAAAAAAATCTAATCTTGTTAAAATTAAATCTTGTTAAAATCAAATTAAAATTATGTTACTATAAACTACGAATGCGCATAGTGATTCTGTCGTTTGAGTCCTGCATTCTCATTTCTGACGAAATAAATGAATAAATATTGACGCTGTGGAGTTCACATATTTGTGTGAGCGTTAGAGTTTACTAGTTTTTTTCATGCGTTTTTAACAGGTGATGTCGAACAAGGTCGTTCTGAAGGGCGTGATATTTTGCGAGTGCAGCCAGGAGGTTTGCACTCAGCGTTGCCTGAATCGCGGCGCCCGCGGAAGCGGCCGGAGCGACGACAACGAGCAGTCCCTGATTCTGCGTCATCAAACGTATCTGAAGAACACACTGCCCATCATCGAGATGTACGAGAAACAGGGACTGGTTTACAAAGTCAACGGCATGAAAACGCCGGAGGAGGTGTTTCAGGACGTTGCGGATTACTTTCCCAAGATAGGCTGGTAATAGATCAAATTCTTTTTTGATCTGTTTGATTTTTCTCGGATTTTCTTCGAACATATCTTGCGGAAACGGTTTTTTCTTGCGGTATTATTGTACTATATATATATTTTACTTTTGATAGATCAGAGCATAATCTCTTTACTTTTTTTTTTTTTTTTTTTGGTGTATAGTCATTTTTTGAGAATAGTATTTCGACGGGCACTGGTTTCTTGGGACATAAGTTTTATTTGGAATACAAGATTCGTAGCTTGTATTCTGTTTCACAATCCAATACTGTTGTTTTACTGCAATTTTTTTTGTTTTTTATATATATATATATATATAGGTGCATTGGAACTTATACACATTCTGAACGGAAGATTCCCTTACAGCTTACGGAGACAATTGTATTTATATTAAACCCACGCAGTGTAGTTGTACAACAATTTGGAATATTTGTAAATATTCTATGCCTGAACTAATGCTAGTAGCGAAATATGAAATTCTTTGATACGAATGTTATTAGAACTTAGCATTGGCACATGATTTATATACATACATACATATGTATATATATATTTATAAAATAATTTATATTTGTAAAAATGATAATAGCTCAAGCAAAACGTTACTACCATTATTGAATTGAAGAAAAATTTAACGCGCGCGCGCGCGATTGTTGACGCAGATATTGATGCGAAGGGATGTAAGATAATTGTGTATTTTTCAGTTTTACACACATGTAAAAAAATATATTCATAATTACATCCGAGATCTTCTTTGTTCCCGTCACTTCCTTTATCGTCGTTCCTCTTCCACGTAAGTTAATGTTTGATTTGTTGTCGCAGATATATAAAACCAATTATCCGATGACGCGTATTTTTCTTAATTGTTTCTTAAATGATTTATCGAAAGATAAATGATTAAAACGTGCAACTTTTACGCGACACATGTCGCGCGCATGTTCTAATTGCGAGAGAAAAAAATGATTCGAGACTCTTCGCGGTTGTGAAGAGATTCGGGGATCTAAAAATATACCTGTAACAAGATTTCTGTTGCGAATTACGAAACGCGTCGTCGAAACAACAACAACAGATTGATGCAATTGCACGCTTCCTGCTGACAAAATAATCGTGTTTTTCCCCGTTCTCGCGGGTGAACGAACTCGATTACAAAATATCCACGTCTTATTCTTATCGTTGTGAACAATACAAATTGCGAAGAAATAATGACGGCGATTACGCGATATCGGTCATGATTGACCGCGCGAAGGTGGACGCAAAGATCACGGACAGAGATAAACGTAATAATTCTGTTATCGTCGTGACCGAGGTGACTTTGATGTAACTCTCATCAGATACGGTCGAGATAACCGATGAAGAGGACTAAAAAAAAAAAAAAAAAAAAAAAAAAAAAAAAAAAAAAAAAAAATTCCGTACGGCGAATAAAATTCGCGATCGAGATTATTGCGACTTTTTTGCGTTTCTCTTCTCGCGTTGTGATGCGCAAAGGATCGTCTCGCGCGGATCAACCACCACGTTCGTGATTCGCGTCGTTCTTCCGAGATCGCAACGTTGTGTTTATTTAAACCGTGACTTACAGTTCGTCGAGCCACATTCTTGGCCACGTGTGTCTCACGAAACTTCGTTCACGTTACATTTTTTTTTTTTTTTTTTTTTTTTTTTTTTTCGACTACACAACTTCGAGAAAGTCGAATACTCTGGTCAACGTCCCGTACGAAGCAATCGCGTATTACGTAGAGGGGGACTACATTTACAGTAGCCGGGGGCGAATTTCTTCACGAAACGATGCCGGTGTAGAAATTTCTTTCACGGAGCGATGCGCGGCGCCGTTCTTCACGCGAGAAATTCCAACGGACATTCGAAGAAGATCGTGTGCGAAGATCGTGTGTTTCTCTCGCGGGAAGAGATAAGATTACGTGTAATCGCGGCTTTTTGAAGTCGAGCTTTTATTATTTGCGCACTTCTTATCTCTAAATTTAGCAGCGCTGCTAAAATTTTGGCGTTTTTTTGCTCGGAGAACACGTTCGCTTTGCGAACCAACTGGAATTAACGGACTATATATGCCGAAGCCGTAAAACGTGCGATGCGATTAGAGCGACGTAAAACGAAAAGGGATTATTTCCCATATATTTTTGTATATTTTTATAAAAAATATACAAAAATAAAACAAACATAAAATAATATGTAACGTAATAATGATAATATATTTAATGTATATTATATTTTATGTACATATGTATATAAAATAAACAAAGTATAATCTTGTTACTAAAAAATTATACAATTTTATATTTTTTAAATACCTTTTCTAATTATGCGTATAAAATTATGTAATTTTATACGTGTATAAAAACAAACTCTATAATAACAAAAGTTTTATTACGTGTAAAAATAAAAGAAGTTACCTGTGCGTCACACAATGTATTATCTTGAAAATAAAAATAGACGTGATCCCAAGAAGGATTATGTCATACACAAAAATTCGTTATAATTGTGAAGTTCCGCGCGCGAAGAGATGTTGCAAAAGAAAAACGAAACTAAAAAGACACGGCGAACGCGCCGCACAGCAACAACTCTCGACACGTGTGTGTGTGTGTGTGTGTGCGTGTGTGTGTATTGAGTAACCTTCAAAATGTTACTTGTGCAAGCGATATGCACTCATCCTCTTTATTTCTATCGATTATCGTATCCAATACTGGGCCTTGACCTAAACATGGCGCGTGTTTAGCGCAAACGAATGAGATTAAAGCATCATCCTTAGTCAATGCCTTGAATACGCAACAGCTGCGGTTCTGTGCGTATCTTCGGCAATTACAGACTCGGTCTCTCGGTGTTCATCACGCTGATTGATAAAAGTGAATGAGTTGTAGTCAATGCAAGACGCTCGCGCGGGGGATTATCGCTTCGCGCGCGTTTCGCTCTCTCGCAAAAAAACGCGAAGCAGACGCGCAAAAAGCCGAAAGAGAGATTTTGAAATTCTTCTCGAATCGCGTCGCGTTTTTTTTTTCTTTTACGTTTTGCTATTTTTGTAACGCTCTTTTCCTCGTTTATATATCGTCTCTCTCTCTCTCTCTCTCTTAGTGTGTTTCATAATTTTATATAAAGATTACAAATTTTTTATATAAATGCGTTCTCTCTCAAGAGATCGAGCAACGTTCTCTCCGCGGTCGCGTAATCCTCGTCGCATCGATAACACGAGAAAACGCATGACCGCGAGACACACAGCGAGGAGCTCGCTTAATACCTCCTTTACCCCCATCATCATCATCACGCGCGTTCTCTCTCTCTCTGATCACCAGTTCTCCCAATATATATATGAGTGATCCGGCCGCGCTATTGACAGAACGTGTTACAGTCGGATCGACGTTTGTCCCGTTTCCTCGTCGATTTGCATGTCCGATCGCAATTCACAAATCAACGAGAAACGGATTCAATCATCCCCCTGGTTGCAAACGTGATCCTCTGTGAGGCGACGACGTGTCGGTGTATCAAAGAAAGAATATTTCTCTTTGCGCGGTTGTATAGTTTTTACGCGGGTCCGCTTTTGTTTTTGTAAAAGAAAGGTACCACACGTGCGTGCAACAGAATTTCTCTATCCTATTTCGATGGGACGAGGATAAAAACCGAGACGTTTTTCAAAAACAACGAAAAATGGACTTCAATCGAGTAAGACGGAAAGGACGATCGGTGATTGTTCTCGCGATGATCGTCGCGATCGACGGGGTATTGTCGACGGAAAAATTTGACGGGACACGATTGGGAAATGTGCTCAGAGACTTGTCGACTTCGCCGTTGCAATTGTACGGCTCGCCGAGATGCTTCAATCACAGCGAGATTTATCTGAACGAGCTGAAAAAATTCACTCCATGGGCGCTCAAGAGTAAGTGAGACAATTTGTTGCAATCTTACGTTCTACAGAAATGTTCTTATCGTTTGGCGACGCGGAGCGTCGCAAACTCGATCATTTTGTAATTGGTTTTTTTTTTTTTTTTTCGAAGGCCGATAAGAGCAACGTTAATGAAATGTTAATTCAATATCTTGTCTCGTATTCATAATGAAGTGTGTTCGAAGTGAAATCGATTTCAGTCTCTCCTCTTAGAACACACTAATCGATCACGGAACGTTTCGACCGTCACTTGCTCATATCTCTCTCTCTTTCTCTTCGATAAGCAACTCAAACAATTAATAAATTTTTCTAATCGCAATTGGCACGTAAAAGACGACCAGCAAGTAACGTCGCACGTTATTGATGTGCTTCGAATTTCAAATGTTACAGACACAAATGAAAAAAAACAAACAAACAAACAAAGAAACAGTGTACAGCGACTCGGTACAAAAATTAAACTGGAAACATATACATTTACATTATTTTTTTTTTTCTAGTTTGTGTTTGCAATTTCTTTCCTCAACTCCCGCAAATCCTGCAAATCGATATTTCATCAGATTTGACAAGATCGTTCGAAAAATCTGCGTTTTGTAGCAAGGATCAAATCAACATTGCGACGATAATTAACGTTAAAACTCGACCTCGTTTAATAAATACTGAAAAAAAAAAAAAATTTATTCCACATTGCGCTCCTCTTTTCACGGCGTGAGAAACAAGAGGGGGCGCGCGACGTTGTAATCCTTCGCACAAGGATTCGCGAGTGGTCAGTCCGCTCTTTACGCCAACACCGCCGCGATTTGAAATGTTACGCACGCACAAATGTTTGTTTCAGCGAGAAAGGAGACGCACTCTGTGAGCGTGGGGAAAACACGTTACGTAACTTGTACATATTATGTGTGTATATTGTATCTCCCTCTCCCCCTCCTCCTTCCCGTTGTACGGCGTATGTACAAATCACGCAAAACGATTGCGATTGCAGTTACGTACGAAACATTCGACAATTATCGGACGTTGCACGCTGCGCAAACAGTTATCAGCGGGTTATCATCGCGGTCCGTACTACCACGACATCGCGTCGCGACCGGCGCGCGCGTCGAGTGCATCGTGTATCGCCAATTAACCGGAGATCGTTATCGCGGATAACAGAACAGAATTGGAGAAGAAGGTCTCGATAAAACGCCCGAGAGTTCAACGGCCTCTTTCAGCGGCCGTGGATATGAGTTGCGAAATGCGTTTCGGGTTTTTTTTTTTTTTTTTTTTTTTCACCTCCGATTTTTTTTACCGCCGATTTTTGAGAGCAAACAAACGCGAACCGATCGATCGTTGCGTCATTCTTTTCGATACGCGCGTAATTTCGCATTTCAAGATAGTTGTTTCGAAAACGGATGCGCGTAGTCGAGGGCGAGAAACAAAAATAAAGAAAAAGAACTGACGAGAGATACGACTTGCGCGCGATATCGAAAATCAACTTTGCACACATGCGCGCGCGCGCGAGAACCTTGTGTCCATTTTTGCGGGCGAATTACCGTCTCCCTGACACTTGGACTTAGCACAGATTTAAACATGGATGACATTGATCCGATTGAGATTAATGGTATCCAGATCGGTATCAACTGCTGCATCTCTCGGCCGCGCGCGTTTAACCCACGCCGATCGGCCGTGTGGCGGGAAAACAGATCACAAATCGCTCGAATAAATCGCAACGTTGTTACGCGCATGCATTATGACATATCGACAACGAGTTTTATCGCGTTAATTATTTTAAACGACATCGCATCGCTTATCGCGCGCGCGCGCGCGCGTTTCTTGCGTCAATACGCAAACGTAACCCGGATAATAAATATCTGTGTTCTGCATTTTCCACTTCTTTCGAGATGCTCGCGCCGATATGTCTGGAAAGGAATAAAAAATGGTCACGATTTTATATTTTTATTGCGAAAAACCGCGACATCGCGAAAGAATCAAATGAAAACGCCGAAACACGACCGCAGTTTTGAAACCGCGTTTAAAAGGGGTTGCAACTTTGTGAAAAAAAGAATCGAGAGTGTCCAAGAATAAGGTGTGTACTAATTGTATCTAATCAGCGATTAATGTCTCATTAAATGTCAATTCGAATGTTTACCACCGGTAAAACAATCAATAAAACTTCGTTCCACGTTACGCAAATCGAAGTGGAAAAAAATCAGAAAATCTACCGATAGTAAATTGCCGAATAATTATATACACGATTCTCAGCCGATACGCGATGAAGCAACTTATTAGAAGAAAACCACAATTAGCGATCTTTCCGCGCGCGCATTCGCGGGAGACAATAATATTGACCGATGTAATTGATGTGCGCGTGGTAATACCGCGAGCGCGATATAATACCGTGAATTGGGTCAGGCCGATGACCGTCCTTGTGTAATCCAGAGTTCGCCCGCGAGATCGATCGATCGATCGATCGATCGATCCAGAGTTCGCGCGCTTCATTGTTATCCCGAGGATAGAAGAGACAATTTAGACGAAAAAAATAAAAAAAAATAAATCTTCCTGATTTTTTCATCTTTATTGCAGCGTCAAAGAACGTTAAACGACGCAACCGAGGAACTTTAAACGAGGAAAATCGCCGTGTTTTCGTTATCGCGAACGTTCCGATAATACGCGAGCAAATTTGAAATTGAAAACAATCGCGCTATCGCCGATAAAGGAAGTCGACTTTGACAACGTCCCGGTTCATCGACCCGTTTTGCAATAACGTGTCATCAACTATTCGCCGCTCCGATCGATTCAGCGCCCGATATCAGCGCCCGATATCAGCGCCTATTCGCACACGAGATATGCCACTTCCGTAGTTAATGCACTCACACGACATTGACGCTCTCCCCGCCTGCGTCATCATCACGATCACGGTTCTAAGGAATCGCCTTGAACACAACACACCACAGTATGCACGTTCCCGAGTTACGTACGCGCGTCGGTGTTGTGTGCGTGCGACGATGATGAGTAAGAACAAAATCGCGTACATATACGCGTCATGTGTGCGCGCACAACCCACCGCGATGGCGCAGTTCTCTCTCTCTCGGTTTTAACGATTTATCGCTATTTTCTTCTCGTGGAACCGAGGCTTTGTCATTTTTCATCAACGCGACGCTCGTTTCTTATCTCCGTCTCTATTTTCGAAGTCTCTCATCGAGTTTCTTCGTCGCAGCTTATTACGCGTCTTCGTTATTGTTCGTCATTCGGGATAACAAGAAGAGCAAGATTGAATAAGTCGCGAATCGAAAACATCACGTTTTATCGATAGGACACGTTTTTCCACCGCGATTTATCGCGTTCCTCTTCCGAGATCTGTTTTCGAGATTTGTTTTCAAAACGGCTCGAGACGATTTCCCCCCAAAAAATGCAGACAAAGCAAAAGACGATCGTCGTCCGACCCGGTCTGCAACGCGGATTCCGGATATTCGGAAAAAAAAGATGCTAGATTGTGGCGCGGATTGAGGACAGAAGAACGCCTTGACGCATCGACTGTTTCAACCGGTTTCAGAGTCGCTAAGTTTCATTATAAAACGAAAGAGAAGATGAGAGGGAAGGGGGAAGTAATTGTTAAATGTCAAAGCCGGTACAAATGTCGCTAAAATAGCCGGAAAACCGCGTACGTTCCACGGATTGACGGTAAAGATCAACCTTTTGCGAGAGACGTGTGCCGCGGGCGGAGTTTATTGCGCGAAAAAAATCAAAAGGACGTTAACTTGCAACCTGGGTAATGCGCTGAGCGACAAAAGTCACTCGCCGTCGGAACGGTCGCACACAGTCGAACTCCTCAACTTATGGGAAAACAATTCGTCTGCACGTGAGTGGAGTTAGGGTGAGAGAACCGTCCTCGATGCGCGCAATAGTAAAAAAAAAAAAAAAGCAGTGGTAAAGTAGGGAAAGGAGGAGACACAACTGTTGAGGAAAACCGTAGACTTGGGAGTGATTGTTGAGGAGTTCGACTGTATCGAAATTTAACGGAGAAGACACCGCGCAAACTCAAAAGCTGACAGATCTTTGTCTCGTTTCCAGTGTACGACGCGTCAGCGAAGGCGCCGTCCGGATTGATCCTCGGCAACAAGCTGCGCGGCAACTTCGACGAGTGCCTGGAAGTGCGGAACAACGACCACGGATTCGTCGGCCAGGCGTGTTACGCGGAAGTCACGTTCAACATCGCCCCGGACGACGGCACGTCGCACGAGCCGGACCTCGGGGATCTGTTGGCGAACGTCGCGATCGCGTCGGTGAGTCGCGGCGATCTTCGAAAAAGCGCGCCGAAGTTTCACGCGAAATATAAGTCCCGGACAGACTCTCTCCGCAAAAAATAATGAATGATTTTTTCAAAAAGAAAAAAAAACGAAAAGAGCGTCAAGTTTTTGCGAGTCAAAGAATTTTACATTCTTATGACGCGCAAAATCCCCGATGGGAGTTTTTGAGAATAAAAACATCTCTAGAAACGAAATTACTCGCAATATTGAATGTGCGAATGTGTTTCTTGCGTAGGACGCAACGTCTTGGAGAAGCGGCACCGCGACGTACGAGTGGATGTTTTGCGTTCCCTCGAGCTGTTCCAGCGCGGAAGTCGAGAGAGCTGTGCACGCCGCACTGGATCCGCTCAAGGTCCTGGGACGCGTGAACGTGATCGTCTCCGTTCCTCCGGGAGCGTGTCACAACGTCGAGACCACACGCTCAACCTGGGACGCAGCCGATTACGGTTTCACGTGAGTACGTCACGTCCGAATAAAAGTTCCACATCCGATTTGTGAAAATACTCATTGAAATTTTTTCAGGGCGCTTCTCGGCGTCATTGCTTTAATCGCCATCGCCGGCACGAGTTATCACCTCGCTGTGCAACACAATATTATCAAGTCACTGTCGAACGGTACGTAAAATCGAAAAGATCGTTTTGAAAAATCAGACCAGATCAGATTCAAAGAGACAGATTTCTCAAATTTGAAGATTTTTCTTCGCAGATATCTTACTCAAGGCGTTCTCGTTGTGCAACAATTTCGTGAACGTGATGCGAACCAGCAGCCAGTCGGGATCCGTCAGATGCATCAATGGCATAAAGACTCTAAGTACTTTTTATATAATTTTCGGTCACACGTACTACACGCAGGTAATAAGTGAGAACACAAACCTCAATGAGGTGCCGAAGGTGAGCACGTACAAACACATTTTGTACGGATTATAATATAATGAAAAAACCAAAGAGCCTATGTGTGGTCCAGGTTGATAATATCAATTTGTTCACGCTGACCTTCAAGATGCGCACGAGAAAGGACCGACCTCGTTTCTAAATTATATTAAAAAAAATTTAGATGATATTTTTACAATTTCATAATTTTCATTATTATTATGTAAACAGTGCTGAAGATGATCATCGATAAAAAAAAGTCATCGAAACGTCCGAAATACATTGCGTTTTATATTGCATTTAAACGTCCACCTTCAACCCGGACTATAGGTTCTTTGGTTTTTTCATTACATTATAATTTGTTTCGTTATTAATTTTTTACGCAATTTTTCTCGTTGTATTTACTTCATATGCAAAAATATTTTCGCTTTTACCTCTTTTGTTTACAAAAAAATCGCACAATGTTACGTTTATTGTCGAAAGATTCACGAAGCGTGGTCGTCCTCGCTGATCCTGAACGCGAACATAGTTACCGACACGTTTTTCTTACTGAGCGGCACTTTGCTAGCCTACACCGAACTGGCGAAGAAGGAAAAATCGAACTTCGACAAACCGACTCAGATTGTGAAGCATTACGGTTGGAATTACATTCATCGTTACATAAGGTATGTATAGGAAAAACCAAAATCACTTTTTTCGAACTTTTAATATTTAATTTGTAATCTGTAGATTTACTTTTATTCTTTTTATTATTGATTCTCGTGCGACATCGGTGATTTATCTTTCAGATTAACGCCGCCGTACGCGATGATGATCGGTTTCTACGCGACTCTGTTCAACAAACTCGACTCGGGTCCGCACTGGGGCTCGGTCGATCTCAGTAGAGCGCAGTGTCGCGAAAACTGGTGGACCAATTTACTTTACATTAACAATTACATCAATGTTCCGAACATGGTAAACATTTCGATCTTTTTTTCTCTCTCTCTCTCTCTCTTTCTTTCTTTCTCTTAGCAAATCTTATCTACGCATGCTCTTCGCGCTGTACGGTTTTTTTCCGGCTGTTATTTGCGACATTGATAGATTACGTGTGTTAGAACGTTCTGATTAAGTTTTTTTTACTATTGTGTTTATTTTCGTTTTTATAATCCGTCGTTGTTCTCCTCGCTTCGTTTGCATCTACTGACACGAGTCTTGTACATGCAAACGCGCTGGCCTCTCCCAAAGATTTCACGTTTTTTTTTTCTTGTCTATTTTATCTCTCTCTCCCGTTAATTTACGCAATTATTGTATTTACCCATATTCTCTTTCTCTTATTTATCTGCTTCTAGTGCATGATACATTCCTGGTACCTGGCAGTCGAGATGCAGCTTGTTTTACTATCGCCGATTATATTAATCCTCATGCACAAGCTCAAGACTTCTATCTTCAACACGATTCTGGTCGTCTTTGTGCTCGTCTCAGCTCTAGTACCCGGCATGATAACTTTTGCTCGCAAGTTACCGGGCACCATGAACTATTACAAATCGTGAGTGCAAAACTTAATTGAGAGAATGCAATCACATGAGTGATGATCCCAGAAAGTGCGTGTTTTTTTCCGTTTTCTCTCACTAGCACAAGAAAAAAATTCCACATTTATCTTTTTACAAACAACATCTTTCCACTTGTTTTTTTCCGTTTTTTTTTTTTTTTTTTTTTTTTAATCACTTCAGCTCTTTCAGTTCGTTTGATTCTTCTATCACGTGCGACTATACATATATATATTTTTTCGTTTATCTCAGAATTTTATTACTGTCATTTTTATCATCCGCGAAGAAAAACATCTCTCGTGTAAACTTTGTAATTACCTCACGTATCGCGAGGTAATTACAGAGCGAGAGGTCGTGCAGCTTGAGAGATATTGAGTTACACTGACCTTTGCACGCACGCATGCACGCACGCATCGGCACACATACAGAAGTTGCACGAAATCTCTTGATTACCGGATGTTTTTGTGTCAGAATTTGTGTGTTAACAAGACGAGGCACGAGGTGTGTCACTCGAATGCCTCGTGTGCCATGTATGAACCGTTTTTTGCAGTACGGACGCCACGGCCAGCATTTATCTACTAATCTACATAACGGTATACTGTAGATTCGGAACCTATTTGATAGGTGTAGGTCTAGGAAATTTATTGCAAAAATATCGGACCGTCAAATTACGTTACGTAAATATCAACAATCTCAATATTCTTTTTGTGCAATATATATATATATATACGATATTGTTCGCCAAATCGCAAATAACGTTTTCTTCTTGTTTGCGCGCAGTGGCAGGTGATCGTCGGATGGATCGCCGCGATCGTGGGCGGTTTAGCGACGATTTTCGGAGCGAGGAAATTTTACTTCCAGTACAACGTGCTCGAGGCCAGCTTCTACGCTGGTCTTCACCGACACGCGTTCGCCCTCGCGGTTGCGTGGATTATCTTTTGCAGCGAGCACGGTTACGCAGGTAAAAATAAAAATTGTTAATAAAAAATAATAAAAAAAATACAAGACCTTTGTAGACGCGATCGATTCTCTTTGTAATTCTTTCGCGTTCCTCTTCAAGGTGTCGTGAACGATTTTCTCTCGTGGGGCGGATGGACACCCCTGAGCAAATTATCGTATTGCGCGTACCTGTGTCACTACGTCGTGCTGATTTACTTCGACGGAGCGGCGAGAACGCCCGGCTACATTACGACCATTACCATAGTAAGAATAAACAATAGTTTTTAAAAATAAAAATAAAAAAATACACGTAAATTCTTATTTTTTTTTTTTTTAAATTTGTCAGGTGCGCGTTTTCCTGGGGAATCTGGCGCTGACGTACATGCTGGCCATGGTGTGGAGTCTCTGTTTCGAAATGCCGTTTTTCACCCTCGATCGACGCGTCCGACACTACTGGGACAAGTTCTTCAGCGCGTCGGCCGAGAACGACTTCGACAAAAATGCCCGCGCTGCGTCGCGGATATTGTGCAGAAACAGACCGGCCTCTCGCTACGATCCCTCCTCCGGTCTGACCAACGAGGGATACGGAGGTGTGTACACGATAAACAAAATCGAGGAGAGATAACCTCCAGCTCCGCTAATGTTTACAAAAAAAAAAAAAAAGACTACGGAACACATTAACACGCTAAAACTATGTACGTTGTAGTCGAAGTGTCCTGTGTGAGTTGTAAGTTATAATATATATAATATATTAGAATAATATATAAGAGAGACAGAGAAAAAGAGAGTCTATTGTAAAACATATAAACGGTACACTATGTTTTATATGTAATTGTCGGCAATCTTTTACACATTGAACTCATAATTTATGCGCTGAATGTGTAATATTAGTATTAACTTTACTATATGTTGAGTGTACCACGGTTTGTATGTAATTTTTTGTATATTGAACTTATAATATTTTTTTATGTATTCAACTTGTAATATAAATATTAAGTTTAACAACACACACACTTGGGTCCTAATAGTCTCTTATTTTTGCGCACCAGTCCCGACGTTCGTAGAATCTCGGTGTTTTGTTCTTCGTTTTTAATTTTTTGCACAAGCGCGAAAGATTTCAGCGACTTCAAGAGGTGGTGAGCAATTGAGATAGTCGGACGCACGATAATTTTTTGACTCTCTCGTTGAGAAAAACTCTGACATTAGCCCGCACGTGTGTTTCGGCTATGTTTATACAAAAATCCAAAATGTTAATTGGTTTATTGTCAGCGAACGCTTCTCGATGAAACTTGCGTTCGCGACAACCAGCCGTTTTGAATCTGACTCGACGAGTCAGCCCGGATAATATTGAAATACAGCTCGGTTACCGATAACCCGTGTCGTTGTTTACTTAGGCCATTTTTTCCCCACTCACGTTTCCTTCTCTTTCACACCCTTTCGAGACGAGAAAAGGCCCGAGCGTTGCGGCTCGACCGCGGTTGAAAAAGAGAAAACAATGCGGACTCTGTGCTGTGGAAGTAATCGACACCGTAATCGATCCGGCGAGACACGGAAAATTTGCCTGCGATCCGAAAAGGATTGTCGACGAAAGAGATCAACGCCGAGACGCGGTCAAAATCGGGATCAAGTGGTTGAAAGAAAAATAGAAAAAGAGAGAGATAGAGAGAGAGAAATACTGATCTGTATGTGGGAATTTGATGACATCATTAACGAAGGGTTGATGCAAGTGCTGGACGCGACACGTGCGAAAAACGCCCCGGGGACGCATTCGCCGCCGTGGGAAAGAGAAACGCGAATTTTCAAAAAAAAAAAAAAAAAAACCCTCACGATTAAGTTCATATCGATGTACGCGAAAGTTTCTCGTTCGATTCGATCGTCAATCATAACAAAGTTTTATTTGGATTAAAATAAAAACATAATAAATTAATTTTGAAAACTTTAATAAAATTTTATCCGCGAGTCAAATAAAATATATTATTTATTTTACTGAACCAATTCGACTGATTTGATTGAAATTATTCGCGAAAATCCGTTTTTCTCTTGATAAAAGGGTTGCACGCAGGATCTGACTGTCAACGGAGGCATGTGTCTATAAGTGCATTTCGTAATTGCGGAAGAAAATCGACAGCGTGCGGTCCCGTCGTTACGCAAATTGACGGGGGCACAGAAATACACACGGGTACGCATCGCTGCGTCTCGTGGCACCCCGTGGCGACGAATAGAGAAGGTAGATTCCATCCAGGAATCGTCGCTCTCGGGGTGGCAAGTGGTTGACATCTGCGCGACAACCGCTTTTCCGCAATGAAAACGCAACTGCGACCGCAGGGAGGAAAACTATTCTCTCTCTTCTCGCGCGTGATCTCTTCCCTCCCCCTTTCTTCGTTTTTTTCTCCACGCGTTATTAGCATGCACAATGAGATGCGCGAATAAATATAAAGGGAGAGAAGAGCATTGTGCTTTCGTTGATTTATCGTAATTAAGCATAAAATGAAATAGAACGGGTCTCGATTCAACTCTCGATCTATTTTGTAATCTATGACTTGTGTTTGTAGCAAACAAAGAGGTTGTATAACGACATTGTGTATCATATACAGATACTTATTGCATATATGTTGCATGTAATATATATTTTATTTATATTTATTTTATTTCTTTAATAAAATAACATAAATATAAACAAAATATATATAACAAAATATTTTAATTTTAAGTTTGTAAAATTATATAAGTACATATATAAAAATAGAAAGAGATGTACATATATTTTTTCTGAAAAACTCCCTACATACTTATATAAAATATACAAAAATGCATACTTCCGTAAAAATCCAAGAATCTCGATCGTTGTTCGAACAACCGTGCAACGTCGTCGAAAAACGCAAACGGAAAGGAACCCGGTCGCTTGTTTCCGTCGCGTGTTCTCTCTCCGATTTCGTCAAACACGAGACGGAACCTTGCGCGAAACGATGCCCGGAACGTGTATTCGGGATGTGAAACGGTTTGGTTCGGCGACTCGGCGCCGACGTTTTCTCTCTTCCTTCCCCCCCGACAATCTTCAAGAGGATGTCGAAGGATGTGTCTCTACTAACACGGTCATCGCGCGCTGTCATTGCGGTCCCCGCAATAAAATGTAATCGGAGGAGCAACAATGGCGTTTCCTACAAAAACGCTTTTGTAGTTACAAAAGCACGTTTCAACTGGCACGCCGGTGCAAGAAGGATACATCCTGGTTGAAGGATATCTGGCGCGCACGTGGACAAGTTTTTCCGTCCTCCAATTTTCGTCGTCAAGGTTTTTTTTTTTTTTATAAAAAAGAATAAATTTTTTTCTTTATTAAAAGTAATTGCAATTATCTCGCGACTTAAAACGACACTTGATTTTTTTCAAATTTCGAAAATTGAAATAAATTAAAATCTTTGCGCACAATTGTTCGATTTTTTTTTTTTTGAAATTCTCTACGAGATTGATAAATAATAATTTGTGAACAAACGCAACCAGAGAGAAGAGAGAGACTCGGAATGTCACACAACAGACATAAAGAATCGAAGGCTGGACAACGAGAAGAGGAGGAGAGGAACGAGAATCTCTCCCGGCGCAAGCGTGAAATACGAAGAGAGGCGCCAATAAAATGGGGCGCGCTCAAGTGGTTGCACATGAGGACGAGGCTTTTCGGCAACCCACGTCAACGATTGTCCTCCTCGCTTCTTCCTCGCCATTTCGGACATGTCGAAGAGAACTCGTAAATCGTGAACGCGGCGAAAGAAAAGAAGGAGAGATCAGGCAATGAGCGAGCCATGCCGCACTGGCGCCAGGAAAAACTTATTCGTCGCAGCGACACACATATATCTCACTTTTCCTCGGTTATCTTTTCCCGTTTATTTTCCTTATAAACGCGCGCTCATCTCTTTCGATATCTTGTGAAAAATAAATTCTACAAACGTGATATTTTTTTTTTTTTTTTTTTTTAAGAAGCGCGAGAATGAAGCTGGAGACGTTTTTTCGACGCGAAGTCTGTTTGATCGAAAACATATATCTCTAGAAAATTTTTAAATACGCCGACACTTTCATAGACTGCCATAAAGATGTTTCTGTCACACGGAAGGTCGCTATGTAAATGCGTATAAAAAAAAAAAACTTTACATCGCAACTTGGTATACGCTCGCGCGGGAGAAGAACAAAACTTCAGTCAAAGAAGGGGGGATATATTTCACGTATCGGTCGGCGAAGGGGAGGAGGGAGAAAAATAGGTGTCGAGTTACACGATGTGAGGGATCCGAGTGATCGACGCCCACCGGTACAGAGCGATCTCGAGTAATACGAAACGAGGGCGTTAACTGGGGATATATATATATATTTCTTTTCATCCGCGTCGCGAGCGTCTTCTTCGATTATGTCGTCTCATCGCGCGATTCTGACAGCGTAGATAAATAATTGGTTGTTCGCGCGCGCTATACGCGATTATTGAGAAATCTCGCGAGTTTCGTAAAAATAATAAATCACATCGAGATGAGCGCGTTGACAAGCGCAAAGTTTGCGCGTGTGTTTTTTTTATTTTGGTTTATTATTCCGCAACTTTCTCATTCGACCCGCCGCATTGCCATCGCGACGAGAAGTCGCTTTTTTTGCGCAAGTATCACCCGGTCTGGGAAAAAGGCAGAGAGCACTTCGAGTCCGTAAAAGTTCCAGCTCTCGGTTTTGGCCGCGTTTTATCTTGCGGTTCATTTCGCCGCTAATTAGCGCGTACGACGTTTTTGTACATTGCGCGAAATATTCTTCCGTACAGCAGGGGAGAGAGCGAGCGAACGCGCGAACGGCGCCGATCGCGCACGTCAAATGAACGCAACGAGAACTGACATACGTCGGATTCCGAAATTAGAATCGCACTCGTAAAAAATTCGACGTAGTTCAGTCTTCTCTTGTTGATATCGCGCGAAAGGATAACCGCGTCTGTTGCACTTCGGGGAAAACGTTGAATCATCACGTCGCCGTGCCGTTCGCCGACCCGTTTTTGATCGAAACCGCGCGCGTTCGATTTGTGACGTGATAAAATTAGTCCGCCGTTATTCTCCGTTTCCCGTCTACTTTGTTCGAAAAGAGATATTGACTCGCGATATCAACACTGTCCGTCTTTCTCTGAAGTTTATCTCGCAAATGAATCTCGGATCTTTACGACCGGCGCGAGCAGCGGAAAGCAATCTGCTCCACGACGATCCCGCTATTCGACGATACATCGTTAGAAAAGTTTTTTATAAAAATATACAAAACTGTTTCTCCTCTCTTTCTGTCCCACCACATGTGTTATTAATTAATAACAATATTAATTAATTAATCTATAAGCGGATTGTTTTTTATTTGCGGTCTGCAATTTCAACGTCGCGCTCGAGTCTTTTGAGACGCGTCTAGGCATGAATGAACCTCGTGACAGGATATAGTAAGCAAATTTGAAGGAGGAACTAGGCCCGTCTTAACGACCGCGGCGGACGCTTATATATGATATACAGAAGACACGTGTACCAAAAGTCGGGTGTGTTTGGATTTTCCGGCGATGGCCTCCGCCTCCAAAACACAAGGATGTTCCGAAATCCGGAACGAAGAAGAAGATCGCACCGCGTCGATATTTAACAAAGTCCTTCGGCCGGAAGTAACAAAAGCGTCCTCGAATTTCCACACACA